TGTATGTATATAGTAATCCATCAACGTTATAATTACAATATTCAGACCCACAAATAGTAGCAGGTTGGCTATCAAGATTAATGGAAACAAGTAGAAAGCACACAAAACGTCCTAGAGACCCAAAATACTTTCTAAACATTTTGTTATATTATGCGGTCACATAATTGAAGCATTTATAATTTATATAGATAATTTTAAAAAAATACTTGACATATTTTTAAGAAAATCTTAACACATAATATACCATATTTTACATACTAAATCACTAATTCTAATACACGATTAATTAAATAATAAAACTTAGAAGACAGAGGTACTAAATGTTACAGTTTAATTTGAACTTAAAAATAACAACGTACTATATTGTGCATATACTTGATATATAATACTCCTGGTCATGAAATAAGTATGTTTGTTAACATAGTAAACTTATTTTCACTACTGTATGTCTGTCAAGTCTGTATACTATACCAACTTGGTTTTCTCTTAGAAACGTGTCTTTTATATAATTTAGGAACAAACATTTAGCTCACTACGTAAGATTATAAAAATGTTACTTACCAACTGCGCCTCATGAATAAAAATAGACAAAACATTTATATACCCGATATCCTTTAAGAATTTTCTTTTATGGTGACATTAAATACTGCGACACTTTTTCAATTTAATTAACAAAGGACAACCACTATAGCCCTCTTAAGTACAATATCGTTTGAAAAATATTTTACTACATTTTTCATTACTTATTACAAATAACTCATTAAACACAATTCCAACTAGGTATAATCGCTTTATTAATCCCGGCCTATTGTATTATGAAAATAATTATGAATGAAAGGAAAACAAAATATTATATTCCATTCCATAATATATTCCATTGTAACAGTCAGATGTATTTTATAAGTCATAAAAATCTGCTCTAAAACGCTGTGAAATAGGGTTTAAATCGGTGTTTTCTTTGGGATGAATGGATGTATCTAATAATTTCATCATTATGATTTTTGATTTTCAATTCGTAACACGTACCTAGTTTACAATAAATACTTCATATCTCTCTTTGTATTTTTAATTTTAAATTTTCCATAACACTTTGCCTAACCGCAGAGGTGACCAAAGGCGGCTACAATAACGATCATTAGGAATGTTTAAATTTAAAGTTTTAAAAATCAAATAGAATTTTGTATAAGAATCTCTAAAGATTAATGATGTGTTATAAATAATATAATATTGTCTTAAGAGAAAATGATGAAAAATATTCAATATAATATTATATATTAAGCCCGATAACAGTTGTAATATATATTATGTTGTCTAAAAAAATTACGAAGTATGTATAATATATGTAATCAAAGACTCATTCATCATGCTCAATGTGACAATACAAAAATACCCACCAATAAGAAGTGTATGAATAATTCACAGCTATTGTAAAAGTTACAGGAAAAGGTTCAGAATTCCAAAGGCTCTTCAATATGTCCAAACTCTTTATAATATTTCTTCTAATAACATTATGTGAAGAATCTGTCTTTTCTAGTCATTTGGGAATATCTGCTATAAGAGATAGACTCTTACAATTCAATTTAAGCTCAATAAAATTAGAATGCGTCTTAAGGATTGTACAGCAAGAAATTGAATGTCAAGATTATTTTACAGTATTGCATCAATCACAATACGGAGATCAAATTATAGAACATTTAAGTGCAACCAATTGTTACAGTTTTATTACGAGAACTCCAAAACCACAAAAATGGCTCCTGCGATCCGAAGCTTACATAATATTAGTGGAAAATGTCACCGACTTTATTGGAAGCATTGATAAGCTGTCAAAAGACTTCGCATGGAACGCGGTAGCAAGGTTTTTTATTGTAATTCGTCAGTTTGAAAATATGCAACATCTTTATCTTTTTAAAGTTTTGGCTAAATTTAATATTTACCATGTTCATGTTATAACCTCAAAAACCATTGACAAAACATTAATATATACATATAACCCGTTTGAAAATAATCGATGTGGACGCGTTGATGAGAATATTATTAAAATAGATGACTGCAAAGGTTTTATTCATAATGAGTTAAATGAAAATGAAATGGAAGATCTTTTACGACCCTGCCCTATCGCTGTAATAGCCAGAGAAAACCCACCAAATGTGATTTTTAAAACGAATAAAAAATTTCGTCATGGTGGAGCTGCCTTAACAGGAATAGAACAGTATATGCTAAACAATATTGCCGAAAAGGAAAAGTTTAAATTTAATTATATATCTGTGGTCAATAGAAAATATTATTATAAAAATATTACAGAAGACTGTGCAACATCTAAGAGTCTTTTACAATATTTACCAAAGTATCCATTAGGGATCAGTATCGGCGGATATCAGTCTACGAAAAAAAGTTCTGACTGTTACGATTTCATGTGGGGTTACTGCTATGGTAACATTATTGTATACACTGCTGTTAGTGACGAAGAAGAGTGGAGGAAAATGATTCAAGAGTTTGGAACGACAACTTGGGGTTTAATAGCATTATCATATAGCTCTGTTACTGTTTTTCTATTAATAATATACAAGTTGTCAGTTGGAAAAATAAACAAAAAATACATAATCCTAAGAATATGGGGATATCTACACAACACCCCAGATAAGGAACTGATTAAAATACGAAAATTGAGAGTGTTGCTACTTACCTGGATTTGGTTCTCATTCTTTATAGTAAACTTTTACAATACAGCCCTCTACACACTAATAACTGCTCCAGATAAAAGAGGTATTATTATTAAACCCGAAAAATTATTTTCATCGTCTTTGAAACCATGTATAAGCAACAAATTCCGCCAGTGGTTCAAACTTGCTTATAACGTTACACTTCAGACGACAAGAGAGGGAGAATGTTTTTATGATGATACTGCTTTAGATGCGGTAACAAAAAATAAAGACCTATATACTCTTGTAAGTGAACCAACACATTATAGACGAGACTATAAATATCTTGATAAGTTTGGTCATCCCAAATTGGACAGATGGCTCTTTGGAACCGGCGACTTTTTATACATCATTATAAGCAACAGAGGATTTCCATTGCTAAATAAATTCCAGCGATATGCTTGGTATCATTTTGAATCAGGATTGTTATTAAAACACACAGAAGATATATTCCATAAAATAAATATATTTACAGAATTCACACCTTTCGCGCTATCAGATTTAAAAGTTCCTTTTACTGTATTATTTGTAGGTTACGTAATTTCTTTCATTGTTTACGTCATAGAAATTAATCACATACATTGACAGTCTTACTAGCAAATATGTTGACTAGTAGTAGTAGTTTGACTTTAATAAGTCAGAAGGACATTTATTTAAACGAAGTATTTTATTTTGATATTTAAAGCTTACAAATGTATTAATTTAAATGAAACTAAGATTTTGAGATATACCATGCGTTTTTTATTATTTATAATAATACATACTAGCAACATTTTTCATTTCGTGTGCGTGTGATCACATTTGCTGCAAAGAAACGTTGGATTAAGTATTTTTAAAATCATAATAAATGTGTAATACACCCGAATATCAATATTTTATTTTTGTAATTTAAATATGATATTAATATTATCACATTTAGAATATATTCACATTTATGTATTTCTTTTAAACTGAAACTGATTAGCTTTTCCATTACCACTAAGAGACATATACTAGAAATGCATGAGATTGTTAATTCATAACGAGGTAATTTATAACTATTGAAAAACCCAAAAACATTTTTAGGAAAAATCGAAAAACGAAAATTTTGAATCTTTGTACTGCACCAATACGAATAAATGTTTTTTTTTTTCATTTATTTTTAAGTACTATGTATCTGTTTCACATCACTTATAATTACATATGTATCTCTCTCATGGGATAATTTTTGAGAATATATTTTTGTCAATTAAATTTTAAAATGTATGAAAACTAGTAATAGTAATAAAATTATACAAAACTTTAAGGGTATTTTTAACTTTACGCCTGTTAAAAAAAATAATGTAAGTAACTTTTAATAGATATTGCAATATTAGAACACTCAGTGGAAATTATATTAAATGATATGGCTTCGACGAAGCTATGAAGACAACGAATTACATGAATACCATATATTAACGATTCTAATGGCCTTTTTCACAATTCCTTGCCATACCCAGTTCCATTCATGGCAAACTACTTTCAGCATTTAACATGAAATATAGAAATACTAAGTCTACATTATTAAAATAAACATGGATAGATTGATTGTTTCTTTAATTAAGATATTAAAGAAACCATCCAATACTCTACATTATACGTGCACCGTCTCACCCTTCACTTGATAAAAATGCTCTAGGTGCAAGTTAAGTGAAGCGATCTCAGCCTTTTTTCTAACATAGGTCCCGTTTTTCGGACTGAAAATTGAAATTATTAGATCAATTCATTTTATTTTATTTTGATAAACACCACTCCTGATAACTTGGCTATAAAACATAAAAAAAAATCCAAATTCATCTCCGTGGATAAATGATCTATGTTGTCAATATAGCGTTCTATTCGCTGACTTGCTTGTTTTGGTTTTTATATAAAAGGGCTAAGTTTAAAAAAAAAGGGAAAAACCATAAATATTAAAACAAAATATTTATTTAAATTAGTCAAGGATTAACAATAATGAATTACAAAATCTTATAAAATGTTAATATAATAAAAGATTTTTATTTAATGTAATATGTAGAAGTGTATTTCAACTTTTATCAACGTACTAAAAAATGCACATAAGATATTTTCCTAATTTTACTTTGAAATATACTTTCATCAATAATATTGATTGCGAATCAAGAAAACTCGTAAATGGAAATGCTGTTTTTGGAATGGAATTATTGCTTACCTAATATATATTACAAAAAATATCTTAAGTTTTCGTAAACAACATTTTTTAACAATATCTTCTTCCTTTTCTATATAACCTAATACTAAAAATTATATCCTTAAATTATTTCTTCACTTTCTGGTATATATCAAAAATAGGAATACTAGAAGACAGACGAAAAGTATAACCATTGCGAGTACCTGCAATAAAAAAATAAATTAATGGACAATTAATTTAAAATTAGAATAGAAATAGGTTTAAGTACAAAACACAATTTTACCTTATTTTGCCAAGTTCGATTTTTGACGCACTGACTGTAAGGCATGGAGGTAAATGTGACAGAGTTGTAAAGAGGCACCCAAGTATCTGGCATTAGCCAGAACAAAAAGTCGTCTAAGGCTTTGCGTAGTTTATATGAAGGACGATTAACCAAGTCTCGCATCTGAAAAAAAATATCATCATACTGTCAGTAACATTATACTTACCTATAAAAAAAATCAATTCCATTTTATATCACAATCTAAAAGGAATTGCCATATATAAAATAATATACAAATAATTTGAAAATAACGAAAATTAAAATAACTTTTGTTGAATAATAAAATATTATTTGCAGAATTGTATTAATGTTTTTTCAACTTAATTTAATTTGATAATGCCGTACCTCTATATAATTATACATAGCCAGATCGCTAATCGCGAAAGTGTCACGCCATCTTGTAGTAGAGAACTCTTCAAGAATGCTAGCGAGATGATCGTTGTGTTTCTTGAACAGTTCATCTAATAGAGTGCAGTCTTCGAAGCCAGCGTTCATTCCTTGACCATAGAAAGGAACCACGGCGTGAGCCGCATCTCCAATAATAAGAGCCTTGTCTTTAACGTGATACGGACGACACTAAAACATTAAAGTAATATATGTTTTAATGTGACATGCGATAGGTAGAAAAAATTTTTTGGAGACGTAATAAGAATTACACTCCAACCATGAACATCCTTAAGTTCTAATAATTACAAATAAGTAATTTTGTGTGAGACTCTAAAATAGTTGACAAAAAGTTCACTGAGTCAACTATTATGTAATTTAATAATGAAGTTGATAATTATAAAGCCATCTACGCGAGTTAGAAAACAGTAGCTGTTCAAAACTTTAATGTAATTAAAAATATAAATTTATTTTTAACTATAGTGTGAATATTTTGTCATGTAAATTAATTATCGTACGGCTTTTACTTACTTTTACGGTAACTAGTGGTGAAGGGGAACCAGCGAAAAAATCTTCTATTAATTTCTTCTTTCCTATCAATGGTATTGAATCAGGAAAGTATTTCTCAAAGAAATCTATAAGAACTTCTTCGGAATTAATATTTTTGAAATTCTTGAAAGGCATAAAAAGTGTAACCGTCCAAGAACAATCTTGATTTGGGAGAGCGATCATCATAAATTGACCTCTCGGCCAAATATGTAAGTAATTTGGTGGCATTTGGAACTGTAAAGAAAAATACATAGATATAAATAATCTAAATTAGTTTACTTCTTAGGATTTTTTCCTAAGACTTCTTTCATCGCTTAAATCAGTAAATTAACTAACGTACTTCCCTTTGATTTCCCACCCAAGTCTTAAAGATTTAGGAGCTTAACACAATACGCTACATAAATTCTGTACATTTATTATTTTCTCCCAGTAGGAATTTCATTCTAAGATATACCAAAGACTATTAAGTATAATGATAATAATTGTCTCCAACTACCAAACTTAATCAATATGATATATGAAGATTGACTTACACCATCATCGCTTCCTGGTGGTATGCATAGTTCTAAGTATCCGTGTTCAATGTACTCCTGACTGAAATTAAACAGCGGTTGTTTCATCATCTCCTTGCGTACAGCGGAGAAGGCACCATCAGCACCGATGATCAGATCCGCGTTTACTTCCACTGTCTCTTTAGTAGCGGTACTGTGTATATAATTATATTATATTATTTTTACCAACTGCTAGTACATTAATATCCTATTCTTCATCCGATTTGGGCAGGGAATTAGATCACATATAGATGGGTCAAAATTATGGTTTTAAACCCCAGTTTCATTATGAATTGCATTAATTATTAAAAAATTATATATTTTTCATCCTTAGAAAAATATTTGGATATGAAGGTATAAATTTAATAATTTTTAATAGTTCAGTGTAACTAATCATCTCTTTAAAATTTTCTCGGACTTTTTATCCATCAGCTTACTAAGGCTTATCTAGCTCAATACCGCGAAAGTAATTTCTATTGCAGCCATTCTTTTATAAAAATGAACTAATTTGAATCAAAGTTATTTGAATGTAATAAAATAATTGTTTAGTAATAAAATAGTTATTGAAATATCCTATTTATTGTATACCGTCACTGTTAGGAAAAATTTAAATTGTATCAACAATTGAAATATCTTCAATAACAAAAATCTATATAAAAAACTAATATGAATACAAATTCCTAACTAAATATAACATGAAAATATAACATAATATTCAAATATATTACTTTGTAAATGTCAGCGATCCATTCTTCAAATTCGTTTGTATTAATTTGTAGTTGAAGAATTTTTGCACGTTGTCGTATTTCTCTGATTCTAAAAATAAAATAATATATGAAAACAAAAACAAAAAAATCATGAAGAACAAGGATTTACGTAAAATATCTTTGTCATTGTTATTATCATTATTATAAACATATTAATGATAATAATTGTAATTCTCTGTATTTCATTGTAATATTAGAGACATTACTCTAATGTTTAAAAGTTTTTGAGTGTTCTTATTATAAACTAAAAAAAAACTCACCTTTTAAAAGCAGTCCGTTTAAATAATTCCGACCAACAGAATAAATGCACTGAAAACAAATATTAATGAAATATAAGAAAGCTTGTATATGATTTCATTTTCTGAAAACATGATTGCAATGTATGACAAAAAACATTTGATTCAATTAAACATTAAATTTATAAAGAAGTTTATTTATAGGCATCATAATAGAAGAGATTGTAATAGTTATAACCAGGGACTTTTATTTATGTAACATTGTAAAATGACATAAACAGGGATTTCATTGTGGAAGTTGACGTAGAACTTGAACCTACCTATAACTAACCGATGTCATCTGCGTAAAAGATGCACAAGAAAAATTCTCTCACGGAAGATTATATAGAAAAAAGTGCAGTATAACATACTAAAGGTATTATGTATTAAAATACCTTTTGTTCTTTAACGCTCAATATACATATACAGGGTGACTGGTGAATTACTATCAATATTTAAGGAGAATACTCGGTACATGATTCTCATTCGAATTATGTAAAAAAAATAGGTACTTAATTTTTGACCAAATTTCCGTATAAATAAATAAAGTGTAGACACGTTCCAAGTGTTCCAAGTGTGGACGCGTGCGGCGGCGTGCTGATACAACACACGCCGCCGCACGCGTTTGTGTGTGTGTGTGTGTATACCTAATCTGTAGGGTGTTCACACGATGCGGAATTAATTACATAACTTTTGGTTAACTTTACTTAGAAGTTTATTTATATTTATGTTATATTAATTTTCATTTTGTCATATATGATCGTCAAATATCACGTCCTCAAGTATCGATAGTAATTCACCAGTCACCCTGTATATACATCAATTAAAAAATCTTATTTAAAATTTACTCATTAGAAGTATATGTGTGTCTAAAAGTATGTTTTTACTCTAGTACTATGTACCGAGGGTATAAACTATTTCTACTAAATCATATCTTATAACTCCATTTAAAACCTGACAGCTCTGATTTTCGATGATCCCATATTCTATAGTCTATACGGTCTAGGATCTTGCAAACCCGGATGAATTTTATTACGAGTATATGTAAGCTTTGTGATATTTCCTTACACCACACAATGATCCTTAGAATTTATTTTAACGAAGGGCTAAATGAGGCTTTAATCATCTTGAAGTCAGTATCAAAATTCTAACACATTCAGGACACTTTTTTTCCCAGGCCACTTACTCGTCAAATTATATACATAAAATCACATTTACCTCTTCAAGAATTTAATTGACTTGCAAATACTTAATCAGTAAGTGAACAAAAGAAATCATTGTGTCAAGGAAATCCATTAAATATAAATGGAAAATAAAATTTTCATAAATTTTTATTAATTACCAATTAAATTGCAACAGTTTTGGTTTCTTTCTTAATCCCAGATTGACTTCATTGTATTTAAATACGATAGAAAGGTTGATAATTGCTAATTTGTTAATCATTTATTTATTTAATAATTGCTATTTATTTATTCTCAGTCAAGATGAACTATTTATCAATACCAAGAAGGTACACTTATTCATCTTTCAATATTCGACAACTACAAAAATAACAACAGAAAAGAATACTTATATTACCTGATTGGTTCTAGCGTCATAAGGCATGGAGTATGTGGAACCATCAAGTCTATGAATCATTCTTGCTCTCATTGGTATGCCATGCTCATGAATCATCTGGTCTTCCAAACCCACACCTTTCAATGCCTGTCGTCCACGCACAGATAACGCTAAGTTTATTGAACGCCCCCGGACTTGAGGAGTCTTCCTTATATCTACAAAGAATAAACATTTCATCAAAAGTTAAATAATACCACATTACCATAAACTTAATCTAGGTAATCAGAATTGCTTTATGTACCGTCGCTTTGCTTGCTTTACTAAATATACCTATTGCTTTATGTACCTTTAGTAAACAATTCATATCTAATTATAACCGCAATGTATCTTATCTGTATATTTATAATTTTTATATCGAGCTATTGAATAATATTTTCCTTATAAAATAAATTATGTAACGGTAACCAGCTTACCTTCGCGGTATTCATATAAGGACACTCGATGGCCTCTTTGTGCCAAATACAGGGCTTCAAGCGATCCAACCTGAAATACAAAACCGTCAATTACGTTCTGCTCTGTAAAAAAATCTTCAGTTTCTTGACAAAATTTTAAAAAATCTTTAATTTAATAAGGCTATTGAGTTCTTAGTAGTTTTTGTTTATAATCCAATGGTAACAAAAAAATGAAATGTTAAAACGAGACCAGAAAAGAAGTGTTCTTTATTTTTAATTATATATAATGCATTAATTTCAAATTCTTTATTATAGCCAGGATATCCAAAAAAAGGACTTTCAAAATTAAATCATAAAGTATGATTATATTGTATTTCAAAGTCCTTTGATTGATGGGTACAAAAATCCTGCAAAAACAAATATAACTAATACATTAGAAGCGAAAACATTAAGCTAATTAAAAGGAGATAAATTCTGAAGTCTATTATTAGACTATTAATGGGGTTTATAATTTTTGTTTATGCCTTTATTATGACCAAACCGAAGTAAGTACCTTTTAACCAGAAATATCAGTTTGTCCAATCAATTCAGTATTAATATTATTATATCTTTCAATAGAACTTATCGACGAACTAACCTACTGATAACAAAATCCTAAATATTGTATTAAAAGTTTTATTTGATAGTGTATTAAAATTCAAAAGTAATAAAAATCAATAATAGCGGTAAGCATGTACCCTTAATTCAAATTCTTCTACGATTACATAAATGTTATAATATAATCTTTTGTGTCAAATTATATTTTATTACCGGCCTCCATCATTAGGCTAATAGGCTTATTACTAGTATGCATCACACACTACAGACGAATCGTTTACTATTTTTCATTCATAAATCTTCCACTCATAACAGTAACAATTAACATTAGCTATTGATAAGACGTGACGACCCAAACTTGTTCTAAGCACACTGACTGGCTAAGCGTATAATATAATTTTATTAGTTTAAAGGATATTTTTTAAATTGGTAAATTTACTTAAATAACATTATACAGCTCAATTTACACCTTAATCCCAATATGATAAGGTTCAGTTTAAGCTTTAGTTTCGACTTAGTTTAAGCTTTGGTCTCAGACGACTGAACATTTTTAAACGTATGAAAAATCAATAAACGGTTCAATTAAAAAGTACTAGTTTATTAATACTCAGCATTAAATTATTTGCTCTGACTTGGCTATAAATTTCGCATCTATTATTGTATAATAAATTTATAAATAAAGTGGAAGTTATGACATTTTTGAAATCATTGACTGTCTTCGAGCACGTGAGCGAGTTGACGCCGACCTTTTGATATTTTTGTACATCTTACGTCATGAAAAAAAATAATGAAAATTTAAATCATAAATGTCATTTTATTATAGAGCCCGTTGCATATACTCATATGATAACATTCGAAACAGTTCAACGTGTATACAACTAGCGTTGCAACTCTCTAGAATTTAATAGTTTTCAAATTGATAGCTAAATCGGTTTTTCGTGTTTGAAAAAACTTATAAAAAAGAGGTTTTACAAGTCTACAATTTCGTTCAAAAACATTTTTTTTTTTGTAAACTGAACGCAATAGTGTAGTGACCTTTCATATGTAAAATGTAATAATATAAAAATCTATTTTTATAATTATGTATTTGCATGATATATTTTTATTTAAATAAAAATGCTTACAATGATGAATGATCAAACAAATTACATTATTATAGTACTTTAGTTGTTAGAAATATGAATATTTTATTATATTGTAAGATATTTAATATTAATTAAAATGTACGTAGATTTTTAAATGTAATGTTTTTCTTTCATTCCATAGATATATGTCCATTTAATACTCAGCAATTTTAATATTTAGAATGAGGTCAATTTAATTAAACCCGAAAGAAATTTGATTCAGAAATTAGTGATAATCAATCAATCATCAATCAATTGATTTTTTTTTAATAGGCTTAAGTATTTTTTCCCAATTTTCGTACTAATAAAAAAAATGTTTGATACAAAAAGACTATCCCTACTAATATTATAAATGCGAAAGTAACTCTGTCTGTCTGTCTGTCTGTCTGTCTGTCTGCTACGCTTTCACGCCTAAACCACTGAACTGATTTTAATGAAATTCGGTACAGAGATAGAGTTGACCTTGAGAAAGAACATAGGATAGTTTTTATCCCAGACTTTTGAAAGGTTCTCTTGGAAACGCGATATAACCGAACTCCACGCGGCGAAGCTGCGGGCGGAAAGCTAGTATTAAATAAAATTAATAAAGTCATTACTAAAACTAAAAATACACATTAAATACAAAATTATAAGAGAGTAAAGTGATTACAATTAAATTAAAAAAAAATCTCATTTTACAATCAACTGCATCAAAGATTAAAAAAAATTAAACCTGTTAATAAAAATTTGACTTTCGGATCTTTACGAAAGGTTATGCAATAATGACGATTATAAATAGTGCCTCATTTTAAAATGTTCAAAAGATAAAAATATACATTGCCTTAAATAAATAATAATACTTACTAATCCTCCACCCACCACTGCAACGTTTAATTTGTTATTCCCATTTGCTGTCATTTCGTTTCAAATAAAAAGAACGTTAGCTATTTCAATAGAGTATATACCGTGTTTATGTCTCGTCGTCCAACACACAACTAGCCAGAGATTGGTGCCATCAGGGTTTGCTATCGACTATTTTATAATTAACGATTTTCTCGATATACTGGCCCTGGTTTCATCATTTACGATATTATTTTTTTTATCAAAAAGCCTACCGTTAGTGAAGAAGCTTCTATAAACGTAGAAAAAATATAACGTCCGTAATATGACGCACATCATGTAAAATTTTCTAATTATTTTAAGACTTTTAATTTATTTATTTAATATCTAATAAAAGGAGAAAACTTTACAATTTCTTAAACTTAGCAACCTTTTCTTTAGGTACTTTATTTAAAAAAAAATATCATAGTGGAAAGAATAAGATAATGTAATATGTAACATTAATTTATATTCTGTATCGATTTTGATATTGCAGTAATATATTGTGTTTCATCTTCATACAGTTTGAAACCCGATACACTCATGGTAAGTACGTTCAATATTTTTTTAATTGTCAGCAATACTTCATAGAGGCCGAAGTATTCAGTTACAGATATCACGTGTCATCTAATCAAAATAATCGGATTAAAACATTTACATTTTTGTTTTTATGTACCAGTTTTTGTTTATAATATTAATAAAAACAACAACACAGTATGTAAATAAATTATTTTAATTACTTAAGAACGTTCAAAGAACCATATTAAATATAATTACAATACGAAATTTTAATATTTTTTGGAGAAAGTGATTAAAATGTTAATAAATATAAATCAACTTAATCCTTTGCAAAAACAAAAAATAATTGAACCAAAAAGAAAAGTACCCCCGGCATTTTTTATTTTTTAAACTACTATTTATAACACAAAACTGACACCGAAAAATTATTAGACAAAAGTAATAAATACTGTATCCTATAAAAATATATGTCACACTAACAAATGAATAACAAAAAATACATGTATATATTTATATAAATTATATATGACTTCTCAGTCACGAGTCAGTAAACATACATACTAAAAGTCGTCAAATTAACAAGCACCATTCAAGTTTTTAATATGTCAATTTATTTAAATTTATTTACTATTTATTTATTCACATTAATTATATTCATGTTCATATTAAATCTTTAACAGATCACAAATAAACATAATATGGGATCTCAATGCGATGTCTTTAAATATTGTTTAAGTTGCATAACTTTATCCCTATAACACTAAGATCACGTTCACGATAAATAGTCATTGTAATAATGCATTTTACTTACACTAATATAATCTAAATGAAATACTGTGTGAATGCGTGAACAAAACTGAAATCTTGATCACTTACGAAATTATACATTTAATAGGAATACATCAAAAACAAGAGAAAAGTAGTAAATTTTATCTCGTCTGCCTCTCGACTTTTACTATAATGGAACTGAAACGTCACGATTATTTATTTAAAAAAAAGCGTAGTAATCCGAAAACTTTAGTTTCATTTAAATAAATAAGTATTTATACGTTATAATTACAATCAATACAACACATACGATATAATTTTTATGTCATAATTTTATCAATGTACAATTACGTAACAATTATAAATAACAATAACCTTTTAGTACCTACAAGAAAACCTCTATGTTGAATTATCAATGATAAATTATAAATGAACTTTATCGTTTGTGTAATGAGTGATTCATTGTGTTGTGGCACACATTATGAGATAGGTATACATACTTTTTGTTGAAATATCCTTTAAATTTGAAATAATAACTAGATTTAATTCAAAGTTTTTAGTTGATCTATAAATATATTTATTATTTAACATGTAAATTATTGAACTTTATATTCAATAATTTATGATAATTTTTTTATGTTATTAGGTTTATTTCTCGTTATTTGGCGCGTGCCAGAAACGAGTAGAGCAGGTTTTGAAAAAAATCTTGATCAAATTATTATCTAGGATGGTGTTGCTTTAAAAAAATATATTAATAAAGTTTTATCGTTATTTTAACACCCTTGTGCATATCGGGAAGTGCATTTGTTAAGCGCAGTGCATTAAAATTCCCGATAAAATAAAGAAATCAGCGTGATTTTTGAACTACATATAACGGTTCAAACTTCCTCTTGTAGGACTTAAATAAATAAAAATAGCAGAAATTGACATAATTACGATTATTTTTTAATTTTTTTATATTTCACTCAATCTAATATTCCGGGTGTTATAATATTTAAAAAAAATATTATCATTTCCAAACTCGTTTGTGACCTTCAAATTTTTATATTTTTTTGAATAATCTGAATCTATACATGTTTCATCATACTTTATTTAGATTCTTTGAAGTTATAAAATTCCAAAAATCTCGTAACGAAAACAACAGCCTAAAAAGAAAATAATAGCTTGTTTGCAAATGCAGTGCGGAAAATATGTACGACATGTTAAGAAATCATTGACCTCATATCAATAGTTTTAATCATAAGTGAATAATTAAAAAAAGTGTACGGAGAGTTTCGATGCATAAAAAATTATCGAAATGTGTTTTGGCATAAAATATGACTGTTTTTTACTATGTATTAGGTATCATTTAAAATACTGGATGTATAAACAAAAACTTTCAGAAGCTATCTAAGGTATAAAAAATATTATAGAGCTAAGCTACTAACAACAATTTTGCATCTCCAATATTTTCAATAGTTCATACAACATTCTCTGTCGTAATATTATTTTTGTCAATATATTAATTAAATATAACTGTTTGTATAATTTCTGCAACAGAATCAAGAACTACATATATCTACGCATTGAATTGTCAGACTGTCATCGTCTAGTTCATATGAAATGTTAAAAGTTTTTCAATGACAAATCTTCGCATATATTCTTTTAACTTATTGAATGAGTAACGTTAGTAAGTGAACATAGATATGTAGGTATTTCATACGCCTATCAACAATATAAAGGCATTAAAGAAAGCTATTATAACATATGTATCCCAGAGCATGAAGATTCAAACTGACCCTATTAAAATATCATTGGAAGGAATATTACCAAGTTCAATTTAGGGCAGAAGAGGTCAAAACTGTGAACACTATTCACTTGTAAAGATAATTGTTCCACTCGGTCAAAATAAGCAATATTAAATCAGTAAATAATCGGACTTAACTTGTAAAATTTTGTCAATATCAAATAGATTATAAACGTATGTTATTCTTTAAATTTTTTACGTAGAACGGAATACGGATAATAAAAAAAAATATCTACACTTATTAGGTAATTATTTATTTCATAAACATTTATTATATTAAATCTACAAATTATTCCTTATAACTAAAATATAAAAAAAGAACTTTTCGAATACCAAATTTATATATGACAATACTTTTGAATTAAATTCAAATTGTAAACCGTTACTGGACATAAATTTGGGTAGTTAAAAAAAAAGCAAGTAATAACTTTTTAATTAGAACCTCTTTTAAAAAAATATTAGAAACTCATATTAGAAGGCATTGATGATATATCTTCTGAAGGGCTTTGACTCGAGCTGAATGAACTGAGCGTTTCCCTCGTCTCTTCTTTAATACGAAGCGTGTCTGTGGAGGGAGGACGCGGTAACTTGTCTTTGTCTTTGCTTTTTTCTTTACTGTGTTTGTGTTTATGCTTGTGTTTGTGCTTCTTTTTCTCCTTCTTCTTCTTTTTGGCCTGTTAATGATAACAGTGTATAATAAATAAGTATATTAATGTCAGTAATCGTAAGATACGAATGTATTTTCAACCAAGTCAAATAATATTTGCTTTCTGGACCATAAACTTCATACCCAAAATTTTTATTATGAAAATAATTGAAATGCATAGCAAAATCTCAGCTTTTGTAATACCGAAGATGATTATGTATCTGTGTAATATACCAATGACTACTCAATCATAAATACGCGATGAATCGGTTTTTTCTATTTAACCAATTATAGCCCGATTTAACCAATTATGAACAATAAAGTATGTACGGCATTCGGTTGAATAATATGTAGACATTTTATATTCGGCCTAATAATATAGTAAAAGCAACTTATAGGCTCACTATAACATAGTAACCGAATATTCGTTGCAAACCTATTTTTAATTTAATTTTTATTTTTATTTCTTTTTCCCTATACATGGACTCTTTTCTGTCGTTTAAAATAATCATAATTTCAAATGAATCTTTTTTACCTTGGGTGCAGTCGGGTCATCTCTCTCCAGTTTAAACATTCCCGGCTCGAAGCCCACAGGACCGCACGAACCCGGGATGCCGGGGAGAGGAACCGCGTTATCTGATGAAAACTCGCGTTTGGAATCGTCCTATAAATAATATTTCTGTTAGAACTACATTGTTATACCAAATAAATAACATAAAAAGATTTTTATACTGGAACGACTAACGAAATAGTATCAGGATTGAGTACTTAATTATGGTTTTATAAAACCAACTGTCAAATGTTATACAAATTTGTCAGAAAATATTTAATTTAATTGATATTTTATATTCCTCAAATTAATTATTATAACAACGAATATGTACATATGCCCAAGATACATAGTAATAATAACACATCATATTAAGACGTGAGTATATAAATAAAATATGCATTTTAATTCTATTTTAGCTAACTATCTCTGCGACTTCCACATTAAGGAACATTATTCTCAATTACTCATATCAGTGAAAGCAATATTTTGTTATCTGTACAGTGTAAACATGTACATAATAAATATTGACTATTATAATATTAAAATGATTTATTTGTATAGATATAAATTCAACTCACACTGTAAACCCTGATCGGCAGGTCATGAACTGTTGTGACATCAATTTTATCATCTTCCTCCTTAATGCTTGACACTGGCACCGGTAACTCACTTATTTGCATTGGCTCATTTAAACCCATATCTAACTCGTCTTTCACAGGTACCTGAATAGAAAAAAGATCCATATATGTAATGTGAAAAACTACTGATTTTATATATTAACTATAATTTTTTAATCATTTTAAGAAATAATCTTGGTTTAGAGCAACTAAAATACCGTTTCTATCAGCCTTGTTAATCAATTCGAATAAAATAAACTTAAAAAAATTGTTGGTAAATACATTTAAATAAAATCTTTAATGTAGCATTCTATACTTTCTATAGTAAAAGGTATCACAACACATAGAATAAATTTTATATAATCTGTATACTTTCAAATATTATACGATCATTACTTTATCATATTTCTGTGATTATAAAAATCTATAATGTTTCCAATATTTGAGGAACATTTTGATTATCAGCAAACAAAACCTAATAATAACATTGTTATAAATGTCATATAATACTTACATCCTCAATTTCTTGTTTGATAACAGGTTTTATGTCCATTTCTCTTATTTTTTCCTTCTCCCTCCCTCTCTCCGCTCGTTCTCTTTCTCTGTCAAGTCTCTCTCTCTCCTTGTGATGCATCTGTTTCATCATGGCCTGAATTTCGGGCAAGGGCACGCATATAGGTCGTTTGAGGCCATACAGCGTGTAATACAAGTCGACGAGATCGCATCTCAACCTTGCATCGTTTGATAATTGACTGTTTATGTTGTTCCATAATCTGGGGCAGAGGATATATTTGCTCAGTTATATAATTGCAGCGATAATTTCGATAACTCGGACAGAATGTTTTGTTGTACATATATTATACAAGGACTATTTAATATAAAATTTCGTTTATAAATATTTTTTATAGCCGATAATTTTGCTGTTTTAATTTTATTGAAGAGGTATTTTTATCCTAACTCGACGATATGATTAATCGAAATAAAATTAAAGAGTAATCAAAACGCTTAATGATAATTCGTATCGTCGTTAAAAACCATGTATATATTTTTTAAAGATGAAACAATACCCTTATTACATACAAATAGTTACATTTGTAAACACTTACACAGATATTTGTGAACGATAATCTTGTTCACATCTGCCCATTATTCGTCAAACCTACTATTAGTATTATTACCTAAACCTACTATTAGTATTAGGAGTCTATTCTGGAAATGACTCGAATTTTGACCGCTGTCATATAAATTCCCAATATTGACTCACCTATGAACAACAGATTCCGTGTCAAGTCTATGTCTCTGAGCCCTCTCGAAAGGCGGCATTGAGACCATGAGTCTCGCGAGTCCATGCCTCACGCCGGGGTCAGGGTCGTTCTCTATAGCGGTCAACAGATACGACAAATCCTCGGGCTTGCCGTCCACTCGCACGAAATCCACCAGACCCTCAAAAGCTGCTAGACGCACATCTGCAGTGAAAATCTTATTTAGGATTATTAAATACTAGCTGCGCCCCGCGGTGTTACCCGGGAATTTCCGGGATGTACAGTAGCCTATGTGTTATTACTTTACGTCAGCTTCCTGTATACAAATATTTATAAAAATCGGTTCAGCCGTCCGTGTTAATTAAATAAAAGCCTAACCTATATACTGCCCATATTGCGCGTATGCTCTAAACACTGTGGGTATACTGGGTAAATGACCACACTGTTGCAAACGTCTGATGGCGCGTAGACAACTGACTGTTACTGTGTTTTTGTAGCACGGCAGCACTTTCTCCAGATTCAAGACACGCGTTATCTCTTCGAGAACCAAACGCGTGTCCGCTGATAACGATTCCGCTGTTATTGGAGCACCCTGTATAAAGAGGTCTTCTTTAATTTAATTACTACTAGTCTAAGATCCCGATATAAGGCGACCTTCACCGAGATGTTTATTTGATGAAACATATTTTATATTCAATTTAATATGTCAATAACTATATTACATATGGGTTGCCTCATAAATTTTAGTCTAGGATATGATTAATTAACAATTAAAAATAGATTTTTTTTCAAATATTTCATCGGTTTGTTTATTAGATAAATTCCACACCAATCGAAAGTACGGAGCAAATAGAATATGAAAACGTTAGGTTGTCTATTCTTTTCCAGTCACAACTCTCGGGTTGCCAGGGATAAACAGGTACATCGATAGTAGCATTTTGCACCGGTCTGATAATTTAATCAAATTTAAATGAAAATAAAGATTATTTAATTATGAACACAGTGAAATAGGGTTGCCTGCGAAAAATCGGTCCTAAATTAGGGTTGTCGAATTTTAAAAAGTAAAATATTGCCGCGAGTGAATATGTACGACTGACAGGTCCCAAGCATTTTTATGAAAAATTACTCTGCTAAAGAAGACAATGAGCAGTTTCAAAAAAAAAATCAAAGTCTTTGACTCTAACTCCATACCTCCGTGATGGATATCATTAACGCAAAAAATTTTACGAACTATTTTCGTAAATTCAATGTGGCTGAATGCAATAGATCCAATATGCATCGAACTTGAACCTGAGAGCTGCGGTTGGTGCTTAGATGAATATTTAAAACCACGAGGATTCATTGGGGATAGATGAGGATCACCTTTAAGAATAGATGATATTGTCGAAAGAACCGAAACAGAGAGTGATGAAGAAGAAGGTGCAGATGTCGAAGATCTCAGTTTCATGTCCGATGACTCAGAAGCTGAATAATTTAAAAATATTTATGTATTTATAATTTTTTATAATAAACAGATATTCATTTTTAATTGTTTTTCATTTTTTTTCGAATAAAAAAAATTACTCTAAATTAGTATTACATATGCATTGTTATAACATTCTTATTTACTATATATGTATGTATATATATATATATATATATATATATATATATATATATATATATATATATATATATACTTTAATGTCACATTAAATATATACACATAAATAATTAATTAAATTAATATTAAAGAACTATTCTTCTATTTTTAATATAATAATAAAACATTACTCCAAAATGATACACAGCATATACACGTCTATCGCTATCCTTGTCAGTTGCACTGACAAATAGCATACACACTCTCTTTCTTTAAATGGGCGAACCTTACGCAGCTGTTATGCTCTGTCCTCTTCTAACGCACGGAACAGTTGCTTGAGACCTCTCAGTCGTACATATTCACTCGCGGCAATATTTTACTTTTTAAAATTCGACATCCCTAATTTAGGACCGATTTTTCGCAGGCAACCCTATTTCACTGTGTTCATAATTAAATAATCTTTATTTTCATTTAAATTTGATTAAATTAACAAACCGGTGCAAAATGCTACTATCGATGTACCTGTTTATCCCTGGCAACCCGAGAGTTGTGACTGGAAAAGAATAGGCAACCTAACGCTTTCATATTCTATGGGCTCCGTACTTTCGATTGGTGTGGAATTTATCTAATAAACAAACCGGTGAAATATTTGAAAAAAAATCTATTTTTAATTGTTAATTAATCATATCCTGGACTAAAATTTATGAGGCAACCCATATGTAATATAGTTATTGACATATTAAATTGAATATAAAATATGTTTCATCAAATAAACATCTCGGTGAAGGTCACTTATATCGGGATCCTCTACTATACATTTTATGGTGTATTTTAAAGGAAATATGTTTTAAGTCAACTTACGGGCTGTAAAACAGATATGACAGGAGTTATGGTAGCAGCTAGCGCATCGACTAGAGCAGCTTTGTAATAGTTATCCGAAAAGTGGTTCTTTGAATTATCGTTGTATTTGAACAGATCCAATAGAAATCTTACAACTTCTGGTGGACATATACCATGGATATTTCTCAAACCTGCGAAAATATCACAATGTAATTAATAACAAAATTATATTAATAATCAAAGATTTTGTAGATTTCAATATTTCTTACCGGCCATAGCAACAGGTATAGTTTTCTGCAAGAAGTAATGTTGCAAGTTATCGAAGTTATTTTGTTTGATAATGTGCGGTGCGGCGAATGATCCGAACATTTTCCTGAATATCGTCAACATGGCCGGCGGTCCAGCCCACGAACTTATCATGGCATTCGCCACCTGCAAAAAAATATATGTTGTATCTTAGTAATGTTTTTTATTATGATTATTTATACCAATCCATTTTGTTACTTGATATAAAGAATATTTATGTAATTTCCAGTATTAAATCACTCAAATAAGATACTACAACTACTTATAAGGTTATTGGACTACCTAATTGTACTCTCTTATATGGCTCGACCTACGGTGACGTCACACTTAGGTTTCTTGTACATTTATGAAATCACTCACCTTAGTCAAACAGTGCGCGGCCCGGCACCTGATTTTATAATGTGTTTGTTCATTCTCTATGATATCCGTCAAGGCCTTCCTAGTAGCTGGCTCGGGGTAGTTGTGGAGCGCGTCTATAGCCTCGCTTTGAGCTGTGACGTCACGCTCGTGACGTAATTGATACTGCCATTGGTAATCCGGCTGAGATATCACTGTACTTCGTAAGAGGGACATTTCTGGGTCGAGCCGAATCCATAGTACAGGAGAGTCACTAAAATATATATTGAGAATTATTTTATTGTATGAAGAATTTAAAAGTAAAGTTAATGCATTAAAGTTCGATTAGTATTGCTTAGAGCACGTTTAGTCAATAGAAAAGCTGAATTTATTTTGTTTTGCTTCTCAAGTCTTCAGTCTACCATCAACGCACTTACTCCATAGCAGATAGATCCATATCAACTTCTTCTCCTGTGCATAAAGGAATTTTCTTCTTCTTATTTCTTCTACTCTTACTGTGGCACGTGATATCCGCTTTTACAACAGTATTTTCTATTTGCAAAGTATGTTTGAAAGTTCCATCTAACTCTTGTAGTTGGACTAACAGAGGCCCCACATACTTCCTGATGCCACGCTCATGGACGCTGTCTTGACGAATTTCTAATTCCACTGTATTTCTGAAGAAAATAATGAATATTTGAATTTTTACAGAAAGTCAAGATAGCTCTTACATTATTTTCTAACAGCAATATCCACCTTTTCCTGTTAAAAACAGACGTCAATTGAAATTTAGCATGCCCGCCCGTTCTAACCCACTGATCTACAAATACGGCCATATCTTTGCCGGTCACAGTAAATATAGCTTTAACAAACAAATTTGTCGATAAAAGCAGATGTCCCCATAGACCACTACCGATCTTTGTGTTTGCTGCGTTCGTTGCTAACGATAGCTGTTTATTGAATACTTGTAACAACAGCTCTTGGCCTATACGTTGTTCTAACATCCGCAATACAAGGTGAGATTTCTTTCGCATTACCTTTAAGAGAAAAATCAAATTTGTGAAACATATTTCTATGGACTGTAAAAAAAGTCATATTGAGAAGAATTTTTGGATAATATAAATACAAACCTCGATATATCTAGGGGACATGGTGTGTACATTTCTGACGGGGAAATAGAAAACGTCCTTGGGTTCAACACGAGCTCCGCTTGCTGGCGGCTGCCATGGATCGAGGACTATACCACCATAATGCTCTTCGTAGCTTACCACCTACAAATTAAATACATAGAATGTACATCAATGCAACTCAAGGATTCAATAGCACAAATGAGCACAAGGCTATATAAAAAAAGCTAGGTGATTAAAAGTTAACTTGCTTGTTACTTTGAAACTCAAAAGGAACTTAAGCAAAACATGTTTTGTTGATAGGTTGAATAAAAATCTTATAAGTACACTTTGATTGCAGTGTGGAATTTCAACTTTGACTTCAACTTTGTGGAAAAAAATCATGAAACAACACTGCTTTTTAGAAGAAAATTAAAAAGGCTTATGGAAAAATTTAAGAGGTAGATTTTATCTAAGCAATCCATCAGTAGTTTACTTCAAATAGTAATTTCCTTTCAAAAATTTTCTGATTTGATTGCAAAATTCATGATTTATATACACATATATTTGTTAGTGTATCAAAGAAAAACAGAAATATATATAACCTCTTGTAATTCCTGTTGAATCCAATATCTGTACTCATTATTACCGAAGCACTTCTTTGAGTAAAGACCACACAAGTAATCCGGTATACCTTTGGCAAGCCATAGATCTGACCAGTTCTGCATGGTTATAAAACAGCCAAAGAATTGTTCAGCCACAGCTTGGGCCATTGCTTTTCTACTGATGTATGTTTGATCTATGATAGCAATTGAATGTAGAAGATGTGTACTAAGTATTGACATTGTTGTGTATGCCGTTGCATCATCTTCTGTCTGGAAGATTAATATAAATAACATGATATTAATAAATTCTATATGTATGTAATTGAATTAATTTTAAATTTTCTGTAATCACCTCATCAACAAACACTTGCTTATAACATGGGTATGGATATCTCGTAGATAATGTTTCTTCGTAAAACTCAAAAGCCTCATGCAAATATCTCACAGTATTTTTCAGAATTTGTAGGAGGTGAGGCAAACAGTAATGAGTCACTTCATTCATATGTGGATCAACATAGGTCTCGAATGGACTGAAAAGTAAAAATATATATGACTGTATATGATTTTTAAAGTGGAATAAAACTTATGTTAAGTTTCTTTGCTGTTCACACAACTGTAAATAAAAATACGAATATAAAGTATTTATAACTGATTGCAATATAACACATGCTATACAGGGTGACTGGTGAATTACTATCAATATTTAAGGAGCATACTCGGTACATGATTTTCATTCGAATTATGTAAAAAAATAGGTACTTAATTTTTGACCAAATTTCCGTATAAATAAATAAAGTGTTGACACGTTCCAAGTGTTCCGAGTGTGGACGCGTGCGGCGGCGTGCTGATACAATAAGACGCCGCCGCGCGCGAGTGTGTGTGTGTGTGTGTATACCTAATCTGTAGGGTGTTCATACGATGCGTAATTAATTACATAACTTTTGGTTAACTTTACTTAGAAGTTTATTAATATTTATGTTATATTAATTTTTATTTTGTCATATATGATCGTCAAATATCACGTCCTCAAATATCGATAGTAATTCACCAGTCACCCTGTATATATAAGCTTCCAGTTATATATCTCTAAGTCATCTGAATACAGCTTGAATGATTCATCATCTTGAACAAAATAATAGTCAATATTATTATTTTACATACCCAATGGCCAGCGCAATATTTGGAGCACAGGCTGGAGTATTAACAACATAGTGGAAAGTTTTCCGTCTATGATCAGGTGTGTACACTACATCTAATAACTCCCCACAAGAAACTGCTGTGAATGTCTCGTCTACAGTGAACTCAAGCTTCCAAGTACAGGGTTCAGCGAAGCTATCCACACAAGGAAACCAGAGTCGAGCTGAATGACCATATGTAAACATATGTGCTGATTTCTGAAACAATTAATTATATTAAACACTCAAAGATAAACATACACTATAATAAATTTTACAATTGGTGCTAATCTTAAATGATAATATTTTAATGACAACTAAGACTTTACAAGTATTGATTTAAATAAAAGTAATATTTTTGGATTTCTACACATTATTTTATATCAATTTCAGTTACTTTGCCCTTTACTTTGTAATGGTTTAAGATCTTTATTCTCATAAGAACATACACAGGTTCACTTACATGAGAGTAAATAATGTTACACATAAACATTAATATTTGATACATGGAATGGCTAGTTCTACTTAATATTGTCTAATATATGTATATATTTTAAGTTTATTTTTAAAGGCCATTAAACATTTACATTCTTTTATGTAGTTTGGCAAGTCATTATATAGTTTTACTCCATCAAAACATATATTTTTGTGTCCATAATTTAAGATTCTGACTTCAGGTAATTCAAGTTTATGTCTGTTTCTTAAGTTATGCTTGTTTGATTTTTGAGTAAATGTTATGTTTAAATGAATACCTATAGATAGTATCTTTTTAATTAAAATACATGTGTTATAAATATATGTTTGATTTAGGTTGAATAATTTTGATTTTTTGTATAGTTCTATCGACGGTGTGAAAAAGTCATAGTGAAAAAGTACTTTTATAATTTTGTTCTGCGTAATTTGTAAGATTTTAAGGTTAGACTTTGAAGCTGACCCCCATATTTTAATTAAGTAATCAACGTGTGGCTTTATCAGGGAATTGTAGATAACACTTCGCATTTTTTTTGGTATACAATTATTAGATCTTCGGAGTGCTCCTACAAGCGATAAGAGTTTTGATCTGATATGCTCAATGTGTGGTTTCCATGTCAGTTTATCATCCAACTTTAATCCTATTATTTCTCTAAGTTTGATCGTTGTATTCTAATATTGTTTATTGTAAGGTCCGGAAAATTTTGTATTTTTTATTTTTTGCAGTCAAAATCGTATATGATGTTTTTGACGTATTTATTGTTAAAAGATTGCATAGAAACCAGTCATTGAGCAGATCAAGATCTCTTTGAGCCTCCCTAACTATGTCACACATTGAGTGGCCATAGTAGAAAAGGCAAGTATCGTCTTCATACATTGTTAGGTGTCCAGTTAAACCAATATTCTTAACATTATTAACATATATAAGAAACAGCAAAGGCCCGAGTATAGAACCTTGTGGAATGCCATATGTTATTTCTTGTGGTTTACTTGTGAAATCTCCAATTTTTACTATTTGGTGTCTATTCTCTAGATAAGAAGCAAAAATACGAAGTGCTGTATTTTTTCTACCTATATTGTTCAATTTATGAAGTAGTTTAACGTGACTTACAGTATGGAATGCATTCTTTAAATCAATGAAAATACCTAATGCAATATGTTTGTGATCAATATTAGTTTTTATTTCAGTAACTAAGTTAACAGTAACTAAGTTCAGTAACTAAGTTGTAGCCCATAGTGGGCTGAAAAGATAGAAAAAAAAACTACCTCAACCATTGTCCCCTCTCCTTCTGGCACCACAAAGTGCATCCCGCCCTGTGGGGATTCAAGAGAGAATTCAATACCAATCCTCAAGCCCCTTCCTTCACCCACTAAGTGGGCAGCGTCATCTGGAACTTGTATGTGGAGTTCACCAGAATTGTGATCAGGGTCTGTTTTTTGTGCAGCTGATAAATGGTTTTGAGAAAACACCTCAAGAGATCTCCTGTAAATAATGTTCAATAGCACATTAAAATTTGATTAAGTGTATTGCACTCATTTTCAGCTCTTAAACCATTTAAAAAAGAATATTTTTCACTATGATTTGTTGTCGCATATTTCTTTCTGAATGAGAAACAATTACACAACTAATTAAATGAATTAAATTCACATAGAAAATAGGAAATAACAATCCATCAACCTGCTAAGATACAAGCTCACACCCTCTAGAATATTGTGGTTACAGTTAAAGTAAATTCAAATTCTATACAGATTCTATAGAAATGTTAATTCAAGCATAATCACAACTGTTTTAAGTTAAAAAGACAATATTATAGAAGCCAATAATATTTTGTAAATACTTACGTGGTGGCATCACTTTGACAAATATCAAGAAAAGGGTCAAAGTACTGAAAGTTGGCTTCATACTGGTCATTCAGACACACACGATATATACGACACTGCTTGGCATTTAGACGAATATACCTTAAATTATCCTTAAGAGGTACTATTGTTAACTCAACAAAACCCTGTAAGAAACATTTGTTAATATTATCAATTGAACAGTTAAAAAAAAGATTTTCTCTGTTTATCTCTTATTACTGAGATTGTTTACTTACAATCACACTTCTTCTTTCAAAGCTTATTCCTGTTAAGCTCAAAATTTGATGGGCTGTAAAGGAAAAAATAATAAGATCTTTGGTAAACTTCTCACATAAAATACGAAAGGATTTACGAGAGGATACTTATAATTTAAATGGGCGACAGTTGTCGCCTGTACGTTCTTTTTTCATATTTTTCTAGCTATTATCGTGGCATTTAGATAAATCAGAAATTAAAGTAAAGTAAATTATTTAAACTTAGTATTCAACATGTACTTCCATGCGTTTGTTTGTATTTCAAGTTTCAGCAATTTACAAACTGTAGTTTGATAGATATCAAAACGTCACTTGTCAGTTCATTGTGTAGATACCTACCAACTTTATTATTACTTTTAATATCATATAGTCTTTAGATATATTACTTAATATGAGATAAATTTGATTTTAATAATTTTAGAGTTAAATTTTTTGTACATTGTTCGAGTAATCACTCTAACAGATAGTTTTAAAATATAGGATTTGCAATTTTAAGTTATTGATTACATTTTACTTTAACTCAATACATATTCAGTGTGATCCCAACTGAAAAATATCTTTACATTTAATGTTCATATGGATTGAATAAATTAAACAAAAAAATTGATTGAGTCCTAAATATAAGATACATTTATTAAACTATATAACGATATGTACATTTTAATTGAGGTTTATATTTTTAATAATAAATAATTTACGTAATTACTATATATTTAAACCAACTTAACGAATAATACCTTTAATACACTCGTAAAAGTTAGGATATGTTTTATTTTTATGGTTTTACCAAAATATTTTTTAGTTATTTTGAAAATTAAATAGAAATTGCAATACAATATCATGAATCCCTTAAATGTCCACTAGAGTCCGAGCTTTCAATGTTGTTGATTCTGTGTTTTCTTAATTGTCAAAATAAAGAAGGAAGGCACGGGAAGGTTACAATTACGATTCTTAGATACTCAATTGTATGTGTTCTAAATAAATTGTGTTTCGTGAAAGTTTAATATAAATAAGACAATTAAAACTCTTTACATGTTTACTTTTGACTTAACCAGTCATTATGTGGGATTCACCATACTTGACTTGTTTGTTTCTTTATATATTTTCATTTCAAATAATCGCAACTAATTCTCGCACATCAAATATTTGGAAATTGGATGTTGAAGAAGGTCAAATTGTTGATGGTACCACACTGTCGCAGGTGAGTCTTTAGTTTTAAACGTTTTATATAATCAGTCTTATATTCAATATTGTATTATATATCGTCATCAATCGGACTACATTTCTATTCAAATAAGTTGTTATCCTTGACTGTAAGTCTTTTTATCGTAAACATAATAAATAATGTAAATTTATTATTATCATTATTAAAATTTTGATACAGACTTCATACTAAAAGCGAATTTTTGCGTATCCCTTTGCAGGACGACTCAGATAAGTCAAAAATAAATGAGAACGACAAAGTATTCAATATAATAACATCAACAGTCTACTATGGTAATACATGGACAAAACATGGCTTTGATATGTTCTGTACTGATTGTCAAATGTATGAACAACAAAGGTGATTTATATATTATACTCATAGTTACTTCACTCTGTTAAATACAAGATTAGTTATATGGTTATAATCTAATTTTTACTGTCAATTACATCTATATATATATTAATAGGTCTAATGGTGAAAATGGTGAAGAGACATCAACAGAAACAAATGTCACAGATATAGAAGATGAGTACTTAGACTGTGGAAAATCAGTTAACTTCACTTATTATGATAACTTGGTTGGTGTGGCCCGACGGCATAGACACCCAAATGTACCTGAACCTCAGGTAAATTCTTATTTCAGTAATTCAAAAAGTACTATATGCAAGTTATGTTATAATGGTATCTTAAAAACATATTTCCTTAAAAGTTATGATAAACAATCTTATGTATTTAAAATTAAAATTTGTAATATAAAATCTACAATTTATTGATACAAGCAGTATTTTCACCTTCCAGTGTTCTAGGATATTGTACCCCGGTCGCTTTTCAGATCACACTATAAAGCCCTCATTTAGGTCGTGGAAATTTTGCATTATTTATCTTAATATTTAATAAATTATCGGCTTATATTGTTCTTACATTAAGAAGCCAAATTACTCTTTATATTAAATCTTGCATCATTTTAGGTTGCCCTAATATTTACAAAGAAGAAATCCTATAAAAATGGTGTAACAGAATTAGACATAAATGCTTTAGAAAAGAGGCTTAAGAAAGCCAAAAGGGAGAAACCAAAGTCAGTTCAACTTTACAATCAAATTGGGAACTTCTGGAGAATTAAAGGTGACACAAGACAGTCCATTGAGTGCTTCCGACGGGCACTTGCTGTGTCACCATATAACGCTGAAGTATGTATAATTACTTTGAATTACTAATATACATCGACATATACTAATGGACATGCCTTAGAGATGAGAATTGTATCACTCCGAAAGAAAGAGAGGAAACGAAGTTTCGATCTATCTTTATCTTTCTCAAAATAGTACCATACTTAATACGTTATCAACACCTTCTGGATAATTTATTATTTCTTAATGTCATATACAGCTTTACGTTTAAGTACACTTTCTCTAATTTTTAGTAATAATGACGTATGAATTATATGGTTAAATTTATATGCCGTGCTTGTCATGAAAACTGACTATGAATCATCTATGAGGAAAGAGATAGTGCTAGACCGAAAGCATAGGCCATCTCTCTCACTCTTTTCAAACCAAAAATTACTGCAGATTATACGCGTACGGCACGTCCATTAGTATATTATGTCGGTGCTAATATATGGTATCAAAACTTTAACATTGTAATTTTTCTATTAAGAAGATATTAATTGTTTATGTATTATTAGGTCCTGTTAAATCTTGCCAGAGTACTGTTCACACTTCAGTACCTAGATGATGCGATCTACTTGACGCGTCGCTCGCTGGAGGTACAACCACCTGACCGCAGCGCTTGGCAGCAATACTTCACACTTGGAGAAATTTTCAAAGCATATGGACATTATCAGGTTTGTTGTTTTGATTATAAGCAGATCAGATGATTACATACTTTGTTCAACGTCATATGAATGATGTAAATAAAATTCTTCTTATGCAATACATGTTATTTTTAATAGTTATACATAGATCTCTTTTGAAGTAAACATATGTTGAATTTGCAATAATATTATAAGTAGATATGTAGTTATGATGTTATGTATCTCTAAATAGATTCTGCAGACATTTTTAAAAACATAAAGAAACTTAAATCCAATTTCATAAGTTGTAACAAGATTAAAAACTATTAATACTCTTAGGTACATTTGTTTGTTTCTTTTATGTACACGTTTTTCTTATTAGTACATTATAGGACCATTTTTTAAAATAATTCGGTTCAAACGATCTTATAAATCTATTATATAGTCTAATAATTCTGTAATGTACTTTATAATATTTTTTTTGAACTCAATATGCCCGACGGTAATATAAATTTCAAAAGTAATCTACTTAATTATCACTTTAATTTTTTATATGACTCTCATCTTTAGTTTTTGTATTTCTTTTAACCAGTTTAAACAATAGCGCTTGTTTAATCATGAAGAATCTGTCAAAATGGTCCCCTGATTTTCCAGTTATGTACAAGCATATAACCTACTTCATAGATTAGTATAGTCAGTAAAAAAAATAATCCTTCTCTGAATACGCTGAAGTCGGGTAGTAATTAATTTACTAATTATATCTTCTTCTTCTACCTGGCAATTTCCGTGCTATAGCCATGGTCTTTGTTGTGAATAGTTTTAGCTATTTGTTTTTACGACCGGCCGCCTGCCTGACATCAACCCTCTTTTTGGGAATCAGCATTTATCAGTGATGTCTAAATACTCTTAGAAAGTACATATGACTCGGAAAAATCACATTGGTACTTGCCCGGGTCAGGATCGAAACCGCGCCCTCGTGCATGACAGACGGGCCTTTTAACTACCAGGCCACCACTGACATAATAATAATACGTTACTACGTATATATGTAGGCTTATGTCCAAATGTTCTTAAAATAGTATTCTAAAAACTAAAAAGCGTATTCTAATTGGTTATAGGAGGCAGCTGTACATTTGAAACACGCGCTGGACTTGCGACCGGACTTCGAGCCCGCGCTTATAGCTCTCAAGGACATCGAGAACATACCGGAGGCTTCGGTACATGTGTACACCATACTCATAATTGTTTGTCTGGTGAGTTAATAAAAGTAATATATAGTGCTCAATATGGATAGATCGGAATATATGTTTATCACTGTAAAACTATTTTAGAGCCATTTAATTATACATCTGACTTAGACCGGGGTTTTTGAAAATTTTCCAGCGAGATCTGAGTCACACAATTGTCCTCCAATGGGACTTCAGAGTTACTACAAATATAATGAGATCTAAGATTTTCGCGAGTACACATTTAAATGAAACTAATATTTTCGGATTTTACTTCGCGTTTTATTTTAGAAACTACATACTCCCGACGTTTCGGCTACTTTTCAGCAACCGTGATCACGGGCAGACGAGATGTGTCCGTCTCACGGGAAACGTCGGGAGTATGTAGTTTCTAAAATAAAACGCGAAGTAAAATCCGAAAATATTAGTTTCATTTACTACAAATATATTTTCTTAAAATCTCTAATCAATAAATTTTCGCTTTCCTCAGAAACAAATAATTGTTTCTTGTAATCAAATTTGTCTTAACGAGTTCTCAATGATATTTGTAAATAATACATAATAATAAATAATTTTCATAATGTTCAGGTGATGGGTGTGCTGCTTGTCATTCTATCGTCAGTTGACAGCGGCACAGACGATGACCACAAGACCCAAAGACATTTCAACAGGGCGATGGCCATGCGGTCCCTTAGAGGAGTGGTCCCTGGCACCAGACGAAAGAAGTACAACTCGTAAACAGAATGGACACTGCCTGAGTTTACCATCTTCAAGTATTTTTAGTTCCTATTTGAGTTTCTTTTTTTTTTCAAAATGACGCTGCGTCCCATAAAACGGTTTTGAAATGCAGTTTGATTATAACATGTTATGAGAAAATGCGTTATGCTCAATAATTCTGGGATAGTGATAATATATCTCAAAGAATATAATATATACAGGGTGACTGGTGACTTACTATCGATATTTGAGGACGTGATATTTGACGATCATATATGACAAAATAAAAATTAATATAACATAAATATTAATAAACTTCTAAGTAAAGTTAACCAAAAGTTATGTAATTAATTACGCATCGTATGAACACCCTACAGATTAGGTATACACACACACGCACACAGACGCGGCGGCGGCGTGTTGTTGTATTAGCACGCCGCCGCACGGGTCCACACTTGGCACACTTGGAACGTGTACACACTTTATTTATTTTTACGGAAATTTGGTCAAAAATTAAGTACCTATTTTTTTTACATAATTCGAATGAGAATCATGTACCGAGTATGCTCTTTAAATATTGATAGTAATTCACCAGTCACCCTGTATATCTCAAAGGGACTGTGATTGGAGAAAAATTTTAAGTAATCCGGTTGTTGCTTTATACGGTTATTCCCTGTCAATATAAATCTGTACCTGTGCTATTTATTTTTCGTAGTTTTTTTTTTGTGTAAACCTTTTTTTGGCAAATTGACATGTGAATTAATATTTGTTACATAATTTGTACTTACTGATCAATGCTCAAGAATTATTATTATCTTTCAAATAATATTTAATTTCAATTTGAAATAATGAGAATATATATTATTGATATTAAATTAGAATTTCAATTGCTGCTCTTATGTTAGGAAAATAAACATATGGGATCACTTTCTTTAAAGTTGTGAAAATATTTGTAAGTAAACAGAAATAGCAGATTTCAATGTTTTATATTTATTTATCAAAGCTACTGGTTAAATACCAGTCTCATTTCTTTTTTCTCTTACTTGTCTATAGGTACAAAAAAAATATTAAAAAAAAACATAAAAACTCAACAAATCTGTATGGTTTCCTAATAATTTTTACAACTGACAGCTTGACTTATGACTTCAACACTTTTTAAGGTTAAACACTACATTTATTATTGTAATAATTAATGCTTTAAATACCATTTGTCCAAATATGAGGTGACCATTTAAACAGTTGTACTTCACTTTGAGTAACTGATATCTAAATGTTAATTCTGCTCATTGATTTTGTTTTATATTTTTAAATAATTTTAATTATTTTTTAAGGTTGTGACCAAATTGTATTTATTACTTGTGATAGATTTTAAACTCAGGCCCACGACGAACGTACAATTAATAGCTTTGTGAGCGCAAATTTGAGTAACGTTTACTTATGTTACTACTTTTAGTGTTTATCGCTATTAATATCATTGGCGGAAACGGATATGATCTAGCACTGTTTCACTAAACTGTAATAAATTTATTTTGTCATAATTTCAACGATTTTCATCTATTGCAAGAACATTTCATATTCACATAAAATTGTGTGTAAAAACTAATTCATTGTTAAATTTAATAGATATTCTTCCATTGGTGGTGAAGTGTCAATTAAGAACCATCTTAATGATATTGGGTATAAGAATTCATATTGAATTGTATAACTATAGAATATAAAAAAAATTACTATCAGTCTGTTACAAAAAACGTATTTTAATATTAATCAATATATGTTTATCTACATATTATTTCATAATTTTACTGAAACAGTGTTAGAAGACAGAGGCTAAATGGCTTGTACAAACATAAACACAAAGTTATGAGACCAAATGGTCTAGCCATGTCTGATTTGATCTCTGCTTGTAGTCTTCAACACCTAAGATAGATATTGTATTCCTTCTAGCAGTTTTATCTGAAATTCCAATCACTATAATAAGTAAGACGGATTGTACTGTTGAATAAATAAATCTTAAATTTCATATATCAACTGCTATAAAGGAATTGACATGAAACAATTGTGTAGGAAGACAGTGTTACATATGAGAGTAATTCTGCAACCTAGTCATTCACTTAGACAAGTTGGATTTGTTGGTATGAGTCTGTATGTAATTCATTGTAGTGCATGCAAATAACTTAAGTGTTTGTAGAGTCTAAGGATTTAAAGTTGCAACTTAAATTCTGAGATTGGTAAAAAAAATGTACCTGTTTTCAGTGGTTCTTTTGTTAATTTTTGACTATTTATTACTTAATATATGATTGTCCTAGCATCTATATTTGTTTTATTTCCCCATGTAGGTGATTTCTTGTTGATACAAAAAAAGGTAATAAAAATGTTATAAAAAAATAATTAATGTATTTATTTATAAAATGTATACATGTAACTGAAAAGAGTCCGCTTTCAAAAAGCCATCCATTGTTCTTCAGAAGCCAAAACATTTGCCAAATATGTAGATTAACATTTGGAATTTAGTGGGTAGTGGACAAACTAGCATCTTACACCTAGATAACCAAAACAAGCAGATTATGATAGCAAGTTAGTCATAAGTTTATAACCTTTACGTAAATCGCAATTCGGATAAAATTAAGCGACGTCGTGGATGCCGAGGCGGAATATGTCGTGCTGCACAAAGAAAGAGTCTCCCAGTGGTTTTAAAACAAATGTTTGCATGTATGGATGTGGAGGGTCCTCGTCACACTGCAAACAAACAATAATGCTATTATATATGGTATAATGGTCATGAGCAGGCCATTCACAAACCCTCAATGGACTTGTGACATTTACAAGTGACAATAATATCATATGACATACATGCAATAAGAAATTGAATGTATAGATTTAATTTAGGTTTTATTATTTTACATTTAAAAATAATGATATATAAGTAAAGGACATACTAATACAAATTACCATAACTAAAAAACTATTGGGACATTAGAAAATGCAACTGGAAGAAAATTAAACATCAACAATCAAATACTAACAAAACTCAAAACAATTCATTAAAAATCTGTTAAACATATATGGATATTTACTACAATATGCATATATCATTATATTAATTAGTATCAAAGCATAATCCAGTTTTCTGAAGAAAATGGAATTTGATACAAAAAATATAAATTATTATTGTCATTATTTTTTCCTCAATAACAAGATCTTGTTAAAAATACAAGCTATTATAAACACATAGCACACATTAAAGAAATATTTGTAAGTTATAAATTTAAACAATCATTTTAGTGTGCATGACAGTATTATGTGATAACAATTCATATAGAGACAATTTCATAATTTTATTTAATGCTAGAACAATGTGTTATTGTGATATTAAATTAATTTGATAAGAATACAATAATAAGGTTTATATAATGTGTTCATATGCCTACTTAATTACCCTTAAACATCATGAAGAGCCAGTCTGAACATGTCATGTTCAACATAGAATGAGATTCCTATTGGCTTCAACACAAATGTTTGGAAGTATGCATGTGGTTGATCATCATCTGTCTGTGTAAAGCAGTGGTATTAAGTCCAAAATAATTATTATCTGTATAGTTTATTGTTATAGTAATTTGAGGTAATAATGTAAGGATAAGTTAGGAGATGTTTAGCATATATTCAAACCTACCTGCAATCTACCGAGGACATCAATTAAAACACCTCCATCAAACATGGGCTGGGAATCAACTGAGGTTATTAGTCTGCCAATCTTTTGAAATGTCAGACTCTGAAATTTATACATAAAAATTAAAGTATAAAGTTGTTAGTTTTTAATAGAAAAAAAGATAAGTAACAATGTTTTTGAAATTACAGAAGAAAATGTCAAAATAAAAAAGTAGTAACTTACATTTAGTTTTTCCATTATTTTAACAGCACCTTGTAATTGTACCCCCTCAAAGGTCATAAAAGATGTTTCCTAAAAAAACAAAATATTATTGATGGGAAACCAACAAACATTAATAATAATGGACAACTGTAAAGTATTTCAAAATGAATTGTGCCTATTTTCTAATTGAAAAGTTCTGTGATTAAAGATAAAATGTGTGGATCATCGATAGGCGGGAGGATCTTTAATAATAACCTAAAAATAATTATTAACTTTTAATTGTGTAAACAATCATTAACATAAGAAATAGAAATTGGATGTTAGAAGAGTGATTAAATTACTCACATTATACATATTAGCTAGATTTGCTCGTTGTGCCGGGTCATCGAACAGAGCATAGTATTGTTGTACAAAACCTTTTCCGATTGCATCGTATTGTGGGTTTAGTGCCATAGATGCCATTGGTATAAATTACTTGACCCAAATTTCCACAAATCTGATATAATTAACGTAATTATAAAACTGCAGGCCTTTTTGGGGCCTCAAACATACCTTTAACACCGCAAAAATGGCAAACGGTTCTAAGTGTTGCTACGTATTGTGCAAAAATAAAGAATGTTCTTTGATATTTTTGACTTTTAATATTAGTGCAAGAAATATTCGTTTGCTTTAGTTTTTTATATAAACAATATGGGCCCAAAAAAAATTATAGAATACAATCATTTCATTTTTGGTAATTTAGTCATTTCCTCTAATAGGGACACAGTAGAAGTTAATTCAATTCTAAGATTTATCATTGTAGCACTTATAGTAAATAGAAAAGTTTAAATTTACAATGTACATTTTCAGAATTTTAAAATCTGCCAGCTATTATAAAAGTTAAAAATAAATTAAATTCTTATTATTTTACAAAATTATACTTTTTTCGGTTTAAATTAGGACCCCAACAAAAAATCGGTTCCGTATTACGTGACATTAGTAAAATAAGATGTGTCAAATTGACACAATTGAAGCCCATATGTCAAAAATTAGAATTTTAGTTGATAATGTAGTTTATATTGACCACTGAAGCATTTTTTTACATTAGTGAAACATTAATCTTTTTGTTTTATATAAGCTACTGAATTTTTGAAAATGTCTCTTGCTGATGAGCTATTGGCTGACTTAGAGGAAAATGATGACGGAGAGCTTGAAGCTATAATTGAGAATAAAACTGCAGATTCTCACGAGTTTGCTGTACCTTTTCCTGTGATACCTAAAGAAGAAGAAATAAAAAATGTATCTATTCGGGAATTGGCCAAATTAAGAGATTCAGATCGGCTTAAACGGGTAAGGAGTTAAAATCAAAATAATGACAAGTTATAGTTTTAAATAAGCTCTTATATAAAATCGTTTAAAATTTTAGGTTGTAGCAGAAGTAGAGCAAAATGCGGGTAATAAAAGAAAGAAAATTGAGGTTGTTGGTTTAATGGAATCTGATCCTGAATATCAATTGATAGTTGAAGCCAACAATATAGCAGTTGAAATTGATGGTGAAATTGGTAAGTAACTATTCAAGTAAATATCAAAGGGATTTTTGTAAATTTTACTTGATGAATATGGCTATTTTGTATAGATACATATAATTTGACATTATTACTTAATACATACAAAATCTCACATAACAAATTTTTGTTATAGCAACTATTCACAGGTTTGTTCGGGACAAATATCAGAAAAGGTTTCCGGAGCTGGAATCATTGATTGTAACACCATTGGAATATATCCGCACTGTAAAGGAGTTAGGAAATGACCTCGACAAAGCTAAGAACAATGAGATACTTCAAAGCTTTCTCACTCAGGCAACTATTATGATAGTATCTGTCACTGCGTCTACAACACAAGGGTATATTTATAAATTACATAATAAAAAAATTGGTTGTGATAAAATATATAATGATGAAAATATTAACTTGAAATTATTTACATATAATGTTAGTAAAAGTATGAGAAATATTTGTATTTTAAAACAAAACATAAAATCCAGAACATTTCCTATTCATTAATGTAATAAATGTAAGATAATGTTATAAATAACCCATAATTTCATTTGTTTTTGTAGAAAATTACTGTCAGATCATGAGCTGAGTGAAATCTTTGAAGCGTGTGATATGGCTGCAGAGTTGAACAATTTTAAATCAAATATCTATGAGTATGTTGAGAGCAGGATGACTTTTATAGCTCCAAACATAACAGCTATTGTTGGTAAGACAACTGTATAATATTTATTAATAGATTTTTTGTTAAGAATGTATGTATATAAGAAATGTTTCTTTCTTAATAGTTGAAGATTCATAATTATTTGAATTCAGCTTCTGAAACTAAAAGTATTAAAAGAAAATAATTATATAAACTTATTTCATATTAAGTAAATGTAAGCAACAACCTGCCACTTTCAAAGTAGAAAATTCACTATGAAATTTTAATGAGCTTCTTAAATATGAATGGCATTTTTGATAGAGTAATAAACAGTAATAAATCTAAATAAGGAATATAGCTTATAAATAGAATGTTATGATAATCTATACAACAATATAATGTTTTACTTGACATATTAAACTTTTGTAGGTGCATCAACAGCAGCAAAAATTCTTGGAGTGGCAGGTGGTCTGTCTAAACTGTCCAAAATGCCAGCCTGCAATGTTCTGCCACTTGGACAGCAAAAGAAGACACTATCTGGCTTCTCCCAAGCAGCGTCGCTACCTCATACTGGATTTATATACTTTTCTCAAATAGTACAAGATACAACTCCTGTAAGTTTTATATGTAACTAGCTTTTGCCGCGACTCCGTCTGCGTGGAATAGTGACTTATGGCAGATTTTTGGTTCTTCCCACATAGTTCCCGTTCTTGTGGGGTTTTCGGAATGGTCGAGTTCCCGTAGAATTTTCAGGATAAAACCTATGTTTTTTATATTCACAATGAAGTACTCTTAACCAACAACATATTTATTTGTTTATTTGAATAAAGATTACTATTATGTTGATACAACTTAAACAAATTATTTCGACCAAATTAGGTACCATAAAAACGGTCTTTGTGAGTTAATCTTAAAAGATAGACATATACTGTCGCGGAGTGTTTTTTAGATCATAAAAAGAGCTATTATTCTTTGATACATATTTTTTGTTTCTTGAACCGTTTTCACGGCGCACGCAACGGAAGGCTTCAAAGATGAAATAATTTCTCCCGTTTTTTACACATTTACCACTATATCTTTGCTCCTATTGGTTGTAGCGTGATGTTTTATAGCCTAAAGCCTTCCTCGATAACTGGACTATCCAACACAAAAAGAATTATTCAATTCGAAACAGTAGTTTCGGAGATTAGCGCTTTCAAACAAACAAACAAACAAACAAACTCTTCAGCTTTATAATATTAGTATAGATAATTCTACATCAATTAGTATTATTATATTCTCTGTGTTACCTACATTGCATACAGTTAAAACATAAATTTAAATTATTGACATTAAAGGCCATCCATAACTTATGTCACACATTGGGGAGAGTGTGTGTTACTGAAGTGTGACATCATGTCACAAGGGGTATGTGGAGTCAATAGTTTTGTGATGTCAAATATTAAAATTTAAAATACTAAAACACATATTTAATAAAGATAACTTAAAAGATGAAAATAGCTGTTTCCTTTTGACTATTTTTAAATATGTATCAAACATAATAAAATGTGTGATGTTACATCACAAGGGTTATAAAAATTGAATAACCAGCAGAGGGGTTCGAAAGTTCTAAACTTCCTGTGACACACTTTATGGATGGCCCCTTAAGAAAATTTACAAATTAAGCAAGATAATGTTCTATGAACACATAACAACTATAGTTATAAAAAAAGTTTGTTTGTCTTTGTTACATTAAAATACAAAGATAGAAATATTTCAACACTTCAGATTTGTTGCATGCAAAATAAGTGTTACATATGAGTCAATGACCTTGCATTTTTTTATACTAACAATGAAATTTGTCACCTGTTTAGAAAACCATTCTTATGCTTTACCTTGGCTTGACCAACTTCATTGTTATTTTTAATTATTAGGTTAATAGCTCACAGTTTTCTTTGTACATAGTAACAGCTCGGTTCCAGGGCAATTCCCTTAAAACTTTTTAATTATTAGGTTAATAGCTCACAGTTTTCTTTGTAGTAACAGCTCGGTTCCAGGGCAATTCCCTTAAACCTACAGCCAGTATTGGTATTCTGGGTGTCACCATTTCGAGTGATGTACAGTTTCGTAGTCACTTGGAAGATAAGGCCAGGTTGGCATCGCAAAAACTTGGCGTACTTCGCAGAGCGGGGCGGTACTTCACTTCGGGTCAACGCCTGACGCTTTATAAGGCGCAGGTTAGACCTCACATGGAGTACTGCTCCCACCTCTGGGCTGGAGCGCCCCGGTGCCAACTTCTTCCTTTTGACCGAATCCAACATCGTGCAACTCGAATGGTCGACGATACCGATCTTACCAATCGGCTTGATACTCTAGCCCTGCGGAGAGACGTTGCCTCTCTTAGCGTCTTCTACCGCCTTTACTATGGGGAATGCTCTGAGGAGCTCTTTGGGCTACTGCCGGCAGCTGAATTCCACCACCGCACTGCACGTCACAGGTTGCAATACCATCCGCACCACCTTGACAGCTGGCAGTCAACCACAGTGCGTTTCAAAAGAAATTTTCTGCCACGCACCACCATCCTGTGGAATCAGCTGCCTCGCGACATATTTCCAATACACTACAACTTGGGGTGCTTCAAGAAGAGAGTTTACCTTTTTTTGAAAGGCCGGCAACGCACTCTGGTGCCTTCTGGCTCGAGTGTCCATGGGCGGCGGTGATCATATGTCATCGGATTGCTAGCCTGCTCGGTTGCCCCCTATATTATAAAAAAAAAAAAGTTATATAAATTCTCAAATGAAATAATATTGACAAAAATAATTAATTTGTGAAAATTGTTGATTGTCGTCAATTTTATTCTGTTAAAATTGTATACTTTTTAATTTAGTGTTCTTTCTGTAGGAACTGAGATACAAAGCAGCTAAGCTTGTATCAACAAAATTAACTCTGGCGGCTAGAGTTGATGCTTGCCATGAAAGTACAGATGGCGCCATCGGTCGTTCATTAAGGGAAGGAATAGAGAAGAAATTAGACAAATTACAGGTATAATTCCACATAAACTGAGTATTATGAAGCACTAAGTATTATATTATGTATTCTTTAAGAGACAATCTACATACAAATTCTTTTAAATGAATCAGTTTGTATAATTGTTAAAAAGTCAATAAATCGTTTTAATGAGATCTAAGACTTCCGCTTGCATTCATTTAAATGAAACTAATATTTTTCGGATTATATTACGCGTACTTTATTATTGTAAAAGACTACATACTCCCGACGTTTGGGATACTTTTTAGCAACCGTGATCACAGGCAGACCAGATTCTCGATGCGAAGTATAATCTGAAAAATATTAGTTTCATTTAAAATCGTAATAAAATATTAATTTGTCAAACATGTTTAACAGGAACCGCCTCCAGTGAAGTTCGTGAAGCCGCTTCCAAAGCCGATTGAACAGAGTAGGAAGAAGCGTGGCGGGAAACGTGTGAGGAAGATGAAGGAGCGATACGCAATGACGGAGTTCAGGAAGAACGCTAACAGACTCAACTTCGCTGACGTGAGTGTACCGTACATTTATATTATGAGATCTAAGATTTTCACGATTACTCATTTAAATGAAACTTATATTTTCGGATCTCGTCTGCCCGTGATCACGGTTGCTTTTAAGTAGCCGAAATGTCGGGAGTATGTAGTTTAATAAAAAAAAAAAATCGCGTAGTTAATCCGAAAATATTAGTTTCATTTACATTGTTATAATTTATTGCTATGAAATAAATGTTGAAAATGGCGGCAAAAGCACTTGAAGTTTGACTAACAATGAGGTTTCAATATGGCGGCCGACTTAAAATAGCGATTTAAGATTTTTTTAACATTAAAAATGCGATATAAGGTATTTATAGTAATATTAGCAGTATGTAAATGTTATGTTAATAAGTACCTAATTTAGAAAAACCACTCGGAACTTAATAGATATATTAATAAAATAAATTATTTTATTATACTAATATATAAATACGAAAGTTTCTGAAGACGTATGGTTTTTTAGTGCTCTTTTACTTGAAATAATCTGAATAAAATTTCATTCTGTAAAGTTGGTAGGGGAACATATTTTAATAGTTCCATTAAATTTGAAGTCACATAGACAATAGATGGCGCTGACTGATAGTAAAAATAATCGTCATTAAGTTCAGTACAAATTATTTATTTATATCTGAGCACAAAACTGCAAACACAACGGACGTAGTCGCGTACTAAAACTAGTTGTAAATATTGATATTAAAGTATATTTACCTTAAATTTTATGAAGGAAAGTATAATAATTAACACTTACATTAAAATGTTATTGATGTATGAAAATTTAATATGACGATGATTAATTATGGGGGATCTTCTACTCTCGGAGAGTGGATGCGGATACTATAAAGTATAAACCTATTTCATTATATAATAACATGATATTAATCGGATATAAAGTTCTATATACATTTTTATAACTACGGAAGTCATACTTAGAACTCAATAAATATTGCTTCTTACATATTACCTGTTTTTCCAATTTTGAATAAAATATATCTTTGTGGCATTGTCGTATTGAGTTGCTTATTTGTAATACAGCATTTTTTAAACATTAATGGTGTTATATGCTTATTATAATGTAACTAGCTATTTCCCGTTACTTCGTTCGTGTGGTTTGTTGGTCATTGTTTGTATTCAATAAAATATATGATCTAAACAGATATTTCCGTAAATGGTAGTACCATTTACGTAAATATGGGTAATTTGATTTTTTACAAAAATATGACGTAACACCATCTAGTTTCCAGCAATAATCACAAGGAATTTGAGGTTTAATTACACCCTACATATTATTCTGATGAATGATCTATATCATCGCAAAAGCTTTATTAAAATCCATTCAATAGTTTTCGCGTGAAAGAGCAACAAACACGTCCGTTGATTTCTACGTACTAAAAATTATACACAATAAATAAAATAACTTATTAAACATCGTGTAACAGATGAACTTAGATAAGTGTTTTGATATAATTACAACAAAATGCATTAGGCAAATGAAAGGCTCCGATAATGACAATCCCATTACACTCGGTGAAAGCTAATTGAAATTGAAACAAGTAATTGATGGCTAATATTACTAAGGCTGCGACATACGAAAAATTTTCTTAAATATATTTATTATATATCGCATTTATAAACGGTATTATTAAATATTATATAATATACCAATAGGTGCTTTTACTATGTCGATTTTATTATATAACAATTTTTTTTAACTTTTATTGTTGAGTTGTGAATGTATAGAGCGCCTTATGTAGCAAAATATAAGCAAATCATAAGTACTACGCTAGACAGTTTGTGTTGAGGTAATATTTTCATTTCCCGAATCGTAAGATGCTATACAAATATGTAAAATATCATATATATGTATAATAGTAATATGTACATATATGTAATGTGTGCGATTGAGAATTAAACGGCATGATTGCCACAAGTTTGCATAATACACTAAATAAGGAACGTTTCCAATTTTTCATTAATTAAACTTGCACATTATAGTGTGTACTTATTTTATTTATAAGCATTTACTTATATTTTTGCGTCTGTTTTTTTTTGTAGGGACTTATTTTAAATTTAAATTAAGTAAGTTTTTATTCGAAGTCTCCTGTATTATTATATATATATACTGTTAATTAAATTCTTTTACATTAATGATAAAAAAAAAACAGTCTACTCATAATGACTTCATCAATAAATGTAATGTGAACGTACAATAAGCTGGCAACGTAATAAATTCATGCAACATACGTAAACGTATTCATGGAATAATTAGTGCGCAATATTTATTTAACAAACAGGAATGCAAAATACGGTAATAATTACCGATATCTTGCGTTCTGCTAGGAATCCTGAAACGTGACGCTTAGCGAGCCGCGGCAGATGAGCTGAATTTCAAATGCCATAGATTTTTATTTTAATTTTTCAAATAGACCGTAAACATCTGTTGGAGCGTTAACGACAATGGCACGTTGAATAATGCCAACACTACATATACATAATTATTTCGTTTTAAAACTGCATACTGAATATATGTGACACTTTTTTGGAAAGCATAACATTGTTTTCTTGAAAATACGTTGGCCTTCAAATGTTTGTTTACAAGTCAAAACGCTATTGTGCTGTGGAGGTAATTTAGAACTGGTCTAAAGAACAATGTTAGCGGCGTAACAAGGGAATATATTAAATGGATGTCTTAACAATTTGCTTAAGTGGGTTATTCTTGACCTGTTAGCTGATATTAACCGATCACGCAGACATGTTATTTGTTGACTGCGATATAAATAATATTTACGCGGCATATGTACTGATAATTATTTTGGTTTCTTCATATATAAAGAGTTCCTATTGACCTAGATTCTAGTTCATTCTTGTTCATAGTAGGCGAATTGCACGAAACTATAGTTTAAGGTATAGACCTTCTTTTGGGTTTTTCCTTGTTCATATTTGGAATGAAAAATTCACTTACAAGAACAGCATTTGAATTTGCAACCTCTGGAATATCGGTTTCCTTGCTTTATCAACTATGGATCTTGTTCTCGAACAAAGTTCTATTAAATTTTTAATACAAGTATTATCCCATGTAATGTAATTATATTCATTATCACACAGATCGAAGACGACGCTTATCAAGAAGACTTAGGCTACACTCGCGGTACGATCGGGAAATCAAGAACGGGTCGCGTCCGCCTGCCCCAAATAGACGAGAAGACCAAAGTCCGTATCAGCAAGACCTTGCAAAAGAACCTGCAGAAACAAAACCAGCAGTACGGAGGGGCTACGAGTATAAGAAGACAAGTATCAGGAACGGCCTCTTCGGTGGCCTTCACGCCATTGCAGGTGAGTAATTGACTTGTAATTCAACTAACCTGTAACTCGATACTAAAACACTAACCGTGACTTATTATGCTGCGTTCAAATCACACTTAAGATGCGTTCAGACTGACGGATGGTAAGAATTATACGGACCTAAATTTTACATTCGTTTCTTGATTTACAGTCTGACTTTTTACCGTCCTAATCTACTATATTCTCATTTATGTTATTTTATTTATATTAATGTGGCGGTTTCTAACCTGCAAATGAGGATGAGAACAAATTCATCGTGATTTTAAGATTATTTGTGATTTTACATCCGTAGCACTGTCTTTAAAATTTATAAATCTTAGTGGTATTTACCTGCGTATATAGTTATGTACTAATTTACTAGATTGCTCTCCGATATTCAGGATTATAAATTTTGCATCACAAAAAACTATACTATCAGGTTAATGTAAGAAAACTTACATTTCTTTCTTTAATAAACTCTATATCCATCATCAATAGTATCACGATTTGACGATCAATAACATATAAAAAATCTTATTAGTTTGTGAAACTGTTTATCCATAGTGTTTAAAATGAAGATGAGATGGATTTGTTGGAAATTATTTTTAAGTAAGTTCTTTTATATATCACGATATTTTCAACTGTTTTCTTTGTCAATATGTAGTTACATTGTCATTATAGTAATAAAAAGGTTATCACTGCTAAAATTATTTTTCACTCTTATCAAAATTCACATTTAAATATACATATATTGAGACTAATTTTTACTCATTACACTGTCAACACATTTTTAATTAATGTCAAAATAGGTCATCCAATTTAAATCGTTCGTTATTATAAACGAAAGTTGGTTAATGTTTAGTTTATAATTTCCATAATGACACTAAAATGATATGCTTTGAATAATGTAAGCCGTTGCTGTGACCTTTAGTATGAAATTAAAATATATTATGATATAACGTTATCTTAAAAGCCGTGTACGAAATCGACACGATAACACAATAAAGCAGTACGGTTATCGATACAGCATGAAATGTTTGCAGACTAGAGACAAATATGGCAACTCCCGCCATTTAAACGTTAATGGCGGCAAAGCAAAGGCTCGCCACAATTTATATTGTTGTTAAAAATATTGTTAACTAAGGTTTTCCTGCGACTTTGTTTACGTGAATTTGTGAATAAAAAGTGTTTATGCTAGCCAACAATCGCCATCTATAGTATAAAAGCGATCACGATACTTCACATATAGAGGTTTTAGCGTGAAATAGTTATAAAAATGCACCAATCGATTCAATGACAAAAACATAGTTTTTATAATGTTGGTAGTATTATATTAAATCTTTGCAACTTACAATTATTACCTAATATAATATGAATATTACGTCTAAAAAGTCAAATGACAAACGTTAAACTATTGTTATAATCTGTGCCTATTTACACACTGTACAAGTGCCATTGTAGTCGCAGAGTAATGAGCATTATCTCACGTCTGAATCTGCATGTGTTTTGCACAGACGCCTTGCCGCGTTTTTTTATTAGCCGCAATCGCGCTAGAAAATTTATAGTCTTACTTGTCTGGTTGAATGAAGATGCCATTAGAGATGCATAAAAAGTAAATATACAGACACGATAGTAACGTGATCGTGTGATATGAAATGTTTTAATTTTCGTCTGAGCATCACAGTCGTATGAAATAGTTGAGTCTATTTGTATTATTATTGTAACCGTCATTAATAAAGTCTTAGAAGAATTTAAATTTAAAATTGAAGAATTAAATTCTTTTAAAATAATGCTGTTTATAGATTATATTATTGAATTGACCTAAATCTATTTAAATTCAAGGAAAATTCGATGTCTGTGTGATGAAAATATTATAGAGTATCTGAAGATTTTTCAAGACAATTTTGTTCAGAAATACCGCATTGTATAGTTTGAATGTGTAGGACTTATATGTATATAGTGGACTGCGTCATTATAGTCTATCGGCCGTCAATCTAGCCCTTGAGCGCTTCTTGAGATGCATCTACCGGATGAAATATGTTCCTTTGTGATCGGTTCTAACAGACTTAAGTGTGTTTAAGTGTTACCATATATAAACTCCTATAAAATGAAGAAACTTTGTACATATTTAATTGTTAAATTAAAGCATTTTTATATGTTGCCATTTAATATTAAGTTCAAAAGTAGTACAAACAATATAAACGCTAATTCCTATCACCTTTCGTGTCTACAATTCACAAATAATTATCGCTTTTCCTTCACTTCGATGCCGAATAATGCATAAATATAAATATATTATAATTGCAAACAAAAGATAAAAATAGTACGCGAGAAAATAATGTAATAATTGCAGATAATTGCTGTTATTACGTAATCTTACGGCGCTAATATTTTTTTTATGTTTATGAATCGGATTTAAAAATATTATTTATTTGTTAAAAAAAAATTCATTTTCTTTTAGATTGCATTATTCACGTAATTTTTTTTGCGTTATCCAATTCTTAAGTCCATTTAGAAGAATAAAATTCTGAATACCAAATGTTTTTTTAGAAAACCAGTATATTCTCATCGAATTTCTCAAAAACTATTCTCGATACTTGATAATTATGTCAAGTAAGACTTACTATGGAATGAAGAAATTAATAGTCTATAAGATATAACGACGCTTTCTTGTGATCGGTTGTATCGTTAGTACCATCGCTATTAGAGCAGACGTATTTCAAGTTTATTTGGAAAGTAGAAATCTGCTATAACTCTACTTATTCCTTCATTGTAATATGTTTTATGTGATTCTAAGAAAGTAATCTTTCTTATCTTTTTATTTCAATATATAGAAATATGAATTCAAGGATTTGTGCATTATGGGCCTTTTGGGACGAGAATTAAAATGGACTCTTTGGAGTTTCGACTCGAGCACGTTTAAATATAATTATACATGTGTGAATAATTGTGTATATATTTTACTTTTTATTTAAGACGTTTACAAAAATTTACCACAAAGGAATTAAAGCCGATATTAGAATAAAGAAAATAGAAGTATGTCGTATTCTTCAGCATAAACAAATTTTACATTTAGCACAATATTCTAACGTGTTATTCGTTTTGACTCTATTAAAACTATTAAGAACTATTATATTCATAATAATAAATAAAATATATTATTATTTTTTTAAGAATATTGTGGTTTCAATTGCAGCAAATACTCTTTCTATTATAATAGCACGTCATAATAATTTTATAACACGTTTGTGTTAATTATAACTTACTGCTAGCGTTTACAGATAGCAATATAGCAAAATAATAAATCAAATATTAATCTTTTATCTCCGAAACTAATATAATAAAGAAAAAGACCTTGGTTGAATTCTGTATTTTTTAGGATTGTATATATATTTTAATAGTTTAGCAAAATAAGAAAGCTCAATATATTTAATATTTATATATTTTTTTATATAAGAAAGTGGTGTTAGTAACACTATTTATAACTCAAGAGCGGCTGTAGGGATATACAAATTGGCTAGGAGATAGCTTAGAACCAGGAGATGGACATAAAATATGTTATTCTGTTCAATCGAAAAAGAAAAAAAAATTCCAATATCTGGTTATTTATAGCCTCTGGGGCGGAATGAGTTTGCCCGGTCACTTATACATATCTAATTGCGAAATTATAAAATTACGCGGACGAAGTCGCATGCAAAAACTTGTCAGTATATGTCGTTAATAAATTATTATTACATCAATCTTATGGTCTCAAGTCAATAATTTTCTATTAATTTGACAATCACTTTTATATAATTAAGTTATTGTTTTAAAACTCCTTAATAATTTTCTATCCTATAAAATGTAATTTATTATCTGCTTTTTACATTAATAATTGGTGTTTATAATCAGAAAATTTATTTCTCAAAATTAAATTACACAGACAGAGCTAATGTCGAGAAATCTAGGTTTTGGGTAATTTTAAAAGTGAACTTTCCCTCTTTTTTGTTAGTTATGTTCAATGGCAGTAAAATATTAAGCACCTAATATAAATGTAGGAAATCTTTGAAATGATATTTGTATACGATGGAATTCACTTTGGTTATTTTCTGCTATAAAATTGGCATTCATCGTCATAATACTGTGTACATTAACAAGTTGCATGAAGGTGGGCGAGAAAATAGCCTATTTGTGTTTCAGAACATCTGGTTAGTACTTTCACCATTGGCCAAGGTATTTGTGCTATGGAAATGACGCCCTTTCCTATATCGTTAAATGCTGACATTCTATTATATGTAGCTATAAGTTTGAATGAGTTGTATGCAAATGTAACTCGCTATCGTTTTCAACTCACAGTGGACGAGATAGCCAGCTGTATTATAATTAATTCTATTGTCCGTGCTTTCTATTCCATCCAAAATTATTCTTAATGTAAATCGTTGTATTGTTTCTCTGATGCTATTGCATTATAAATGTTACTTCAGTTGAAAGTATTTTATATCTTCCGCACTCTATACTCTTTGACATGTTACAATTCTTTTTCCATCACTTTCAAGCGTCAATAGCTATCATATCTTTTGTTTCTTGATGCCACCAGTTTTGTTGTATGAATGCACGTCAGTTTAATTGTTCGATTTAATGTATTGGTTATATAAAATATAATAATTAAATTACTTTCATTAAGATCAGTAACTGAACGCCGCTCTCTATCTAGCCTTCATCGACTTGTATCTCCTTAATAGTATTATTACATCTCAGTTCCTCATGCCTTCGGTATTCAATTCCACTGTTTGGTTAAGCTTGGTATTTAAAGTTTAATCGGCTAAAAAGGACAGGCTGTTATGGCTAGTTTCGAAACCATTCCCTATTCCCAATCGACAATAGCTTTGAACAGGATGAGTTGGCGGATGTTGGCTTAGTTGGTAAATAAGTTGCAATCGGTATGTTACTCATTATAGCTAATAGGTCGCCGTGATCCTACCTAGTTAGAGCCAACGTTGGTCATAGAATGTGTCGAGTTGCAACCACCGTTAGGAAGATAGCAATCGGAGAAAGATTATGCGCTTGCGACGCCGCGGGACATAAAATACCCTCAGCAATTTATGCATAATGTTTATTTGTTTACATGACATTCGAGAAAATTATAAAATCAAACATTGATTCAGATAATCCTAATTTATTTATAAAATCTGTTTAGTATTAACAGTGAATTTAAAACTGAGTTATTTTATTTGTTTTTTATGAATGATTCATCGTGATTTAAAAAAATAAATTCAAGTCATCCTTCTAAATCTAAACTCAGTGACAAGCATTATGTCCGTTTTTTCCTCTGTCTAGAGTAAATGGTCGTTGAACCTATCCCTAAGTTATCCGTTCAATATTTAACTTCACCAAATATATATGACATCATAAAAGATTATGTATATTTTTTAAGTATGTATACCTAATAGATTTCACAACTTAATTTGACTACACGTCTTATCTGATAAATAAAATTAGTTCAATGACATAGGTCTTAAGCAATCAATGTACCATGTTAAATACCAGCTAGGTTGAAAAAAAATGTATGGCGAAACTGTATATTAAATTAATTACATATATAATATTGAACAAATCTTCATAATATCATCCGTCATGTTTTCGTCGCGTGTTATTTGAAATTGTTGTAAGATTTGTAAACACGCTACTAAAGTGCCAGGTGCAACAATCATCTACCAACGAGTACTTTTACGATTTAATGAAAAGTCATTTGGAGCCGTTGCCTTACTTATCTACTTGTGTATGACGGAGCTGAAACATACAGTAATCATGGATCGGAGTTATTATCGTCAGGAATGGCGTTGCAAGCTATGTGTGATGTTGCAATGATACTGATTCGATCACTTATTTCTCATTTCATACAAAAAAATTGTAAGAAAGGATTGGCTTGACGCTTTGTTTTTGTCCAAGATTTAAATAATTAGCGAAGTTTTTTTTTATAACATTAATAGGATTCTCAAATAAAAAGTTATAACGCATTAGGTATGTACATTTTTTATAGTAACTATTAATTAATTAGTATTATTTGTTGTGGTTTTACTCAGATATGTTTAAACTACATTTTATCGGTATTTAGTAATATGCTCGCAATAGTCAATTACTGCATCTCGTAATTTATACTGGATCTCGTTACAGAAGATCAGCATAAATCTACTAATTTCGTGACTTGATTTAAAGTACTTAAAACCTTTGAATCTTTCAATTTAAATTACTTGATCTTTGACTAACGTAAATTACCTACATATGAAATAATGGCACTTAGTATCATTCAAGCGGGCGGAGTTATTATTACTACAACTTGATGGTTGTAGCTTTTAATAAAATATAAACTAAACTATGCATGATCTCAAAATTTGTTATGCAACTAATATACAGGGTGACTGGTGAATTACTATCAATATTTAAGGAGAATACTCGGTACATGATTCTCATTCGAATTAAGTAAAAAAAATAGGTACTTAATTTTTGACCAAATTTCCGTATAAATAAATAAAGTGTGGACACATTCCAAGTGTTCCAAGTGTGGACGCGTGCGGCGGCGTGATACAACACCACGCCGCCGCACGTGTGTGTGTGTGTGTGTGTATACCTAATCTGTAGGGTGTTCACACGATGCGTAATTAATTACATAACTTTTGGTCAACTTTACTTAGAAGTTTATTAATATTTATGTTATATTAATTTTTTATTTTGTCATATATGATCGTCAAATATCACGTCCTCAAGTAACGATAGTAATTCACCAGTCACCCTGTATATATGATTGTAGACAAAAATCAAGACATATATTATTTGTTTTCAATTAGAAAGGTTACGAGGCCTTAATTTTGATATCACATTCCGCACTTTTTTTGTATATTTGCTATGAAACTTTTAAAAAATGAATTTATTATAGGTAAGATTTTATTTACTATTTTGTTACAGGGTCTCGAGATTGTGAACCCTCAGGCAGCTGAGACGAGAGTGAATGAAGCGAACGCTAAATACTTTTCAAATACATCTGGATTCCTATCGGTTGGAAAGACTTAAAAGTAATTATAGTTTATAAAAGACCTTTGATCGCTAAATGGTTTCGTGAGTGAAGTTGAATATAATGCAGACCAAACAGTTAGTTACATAAGTCTAAAGTGTAGCTAATGCAGCGTTTACGTCTTGGTTGTCTTCAATGATGTAAATTAAATAAATTGAAAACCATTTATTCCTTTTATTGTCCATTTTCATTATGAATACATTTAATTTAATTGCATGAGATTGTTTAGATATAGTGAAGATATTGTAAATTCATTGCTTTGTTTTATGTAGGCTAACATATATTCTTATTGTTTCACACTATTCCAAATATCGTTAAACGAATTATGTACCTATAATATTTTGATAAGTTTATAGCTTCTAAAGCAGAAAACTTAAGAGACAAATGTAAGAGACAAAATAATACTAAGTATCCTTTTATTATAGATGATAAACTTATATTAAAGATTTTATTATATCGATGAAGATTCTTGGAAGAGATATTTGGTTTTGCTCGGACGTGTTAATTTGTCTGGTGCGAGCGCTTTAACAAGAAATATGAGCCGGCATGCCCTATTTACCACGTGACTACGTGTCATTGCCAATATGGATGCTAGACTGAGGAGCAAAATTATTTCACATGTCTTAAGATATATTGTAAAGGAAAATTTAATATATTACGTACCGCCTTACAGATGCATGATTATCTGTGTTACTATAGTTCAAGGACAGCGCTTAAAAAAAATGCGAATAAGTTAATTAATCTCGACTTTCACCACTTTTACACATAACTTGCGTAATGACGGGTGAGAAGACTTTTGGATGCCATTAGTAAATATTTAAAAGTATATTTTAATACGTACAGAAGATGTTCAGCTAGCAGATAAGACTGTAAAAGGTTTTTTAATTAATTTTATGTGTTAATATCTCGTACACTTGCCGCTTTCTGCTTTGCCAACCGCTAAGGCAACGTCTTATTAATTAATGCCATGCTTTATACGAAATAAAATTGGCTAATATAGATTTAAGAACCGTTTTTTTCGTACATATTATATTTTGCTGAATATATAGAAATTATTTTCTTAATATTGCAAAGTATACTTTCGATATTAAAATAAGATTTTACATTGGATATCGATAGTATAAATGTGTATTTGTTATATATTGATTTGGTAACGTTGGCATGAATGTAACGTGGGTGTGTTATAGGCGTACATTTCAAACGACACACGTTCCAAATTCATAATCAAGGTGACCGTAAGTTACATTATTAATGATAATCTATTTGATCAATAGTTAACTCAGATTCTGTCACATTACGATAAACAGATAAGATACGAATGAGAATAACGTTAAAACGGTTCATTGAAATCAAAATAGCGCCGAGTGAATGCCTCTCGGGTCCGTGGAACAGGTTCAACACATCAGTGATCCCGCGAGTGGACGGTCTATAGTGAGGTCGCCGGGCGTTGCGCACGCGCAGTGCTCCGCCGGCCGCTAATGTGTGCGCATGAAGTAAGCGCTCACCTTTCATACCAGCGACAAAACATATGATAATTTTTGTGTATACATTAAACATAACCAAGGTTATTTTTTATTAGGGATTGACAGAAACTTAGTGCTTAGTGTTTTTGTGTAAGCGAGATATGTTTGTCGTGGACTAAGTATAGCCATAGTCATGGCGAGTTTTGATGACCTCTCTTTCGACTGGTCAACCCTCTGCCAGGACTGTCCCGAATGCTGGACACCGTCAGGTAAGTCACATTATACTAATCTCATATCTTAAAACTTAAAACAATTTGCCTAAGCTTCACCATCTGTACGTTTCTAAAACAGTTAATTTAAATTTTAGCAAGTTTCTTTTCGCAAACTACCCACAATAGTTTCGAATACACCTTTCATGTTTAAATATGATATTTCAAGATGATCTTTCGGCTTTCACGTTTCACTCCTGCATAAATAGTTTGATAATTATACGGTGTTCTTAACAATCATCAACAACAATGAGATTAACGTTTAAATTGTAGCTTCTTAAATGGAGATAATTAACAAAAGCACACCCTGTATATTAAATTCAATAATATCTTAATTTGAATATATATTTTAATTTTAACATTAAACAACAGTACTTTCTGATTCGTGTGGGTGAATCTAATGTATTATTTACAAATCACATGGACCCGCATTAGTTTACAGTCATTGTTATCACTCTTGAACATTCCAAATGGTAAGTAATGACAACTAACAACGAATTGTTAGTTAAATATTGTTTCTTCTTGTGTTAATACATATTAATATTTTATGAAGTTGAATATAAATGTCTATAAGATTCTTAATTTATTATCTTTGCTCAATCGCTTTACGTTAAGATGTCTTTTTATTAGCAAATACAGATATTTGTTAACTGATATATTAATCTAAAATTTTAATTAAGTGTTGAGTAATAAAAAAAATTATAAAATTTCTAAGTCAATGTTGGTTATAACTAATTCTTGCTTTTCCCCGAAATATATCGTCAAATTTCGAGTAATTTATAATATAATCTTGTATAATTTTAAATGATTTTTTGCTTATAATAAGACGAATTGCTAATAAATTAAATACATATATACGATAGAATATACATTTTCTTGCTAAATACATAATAAGTAAGATCAATCACAAACGTGCAGTCTACACCTTTTCAATATTAAATGTTTTTAATAACGCATAAATCTCTAATTATTTATAAAAAAGGAGCTTTTTTTATTATTAGATCTAATAAGTTTAAAATATTATTATTATGTACTCATAATTTTATCTCGAAATAGTGCTTTATAAAATATCATGTGTCATAAGTACAAGTTAGGCGGGTTACTGTTTTAAATTGGAAATTTCAACGTTTTTCATTCATAACACGTTAGCAATATGAATTGCTCAATGACTCTTAAATAAAAATCTTTAACCGTTGGTTTTTAGGTTTAGAAACAAATTCGTACTAAGGATTTATAAGATCTTTTTTTATTGGCAGTGGTCAATGTCAGTTTAAATTTATAAAGTATTTACAATACCTTTAAAAATACATTTTAAAGATTTTCAATGACGAAAAAAGTTACGTAAAATTCCCGTAAAAGTGCTGTAACTTGTAAGCGATGTGTGTTTGTTTATTATGTTTATCATCGTAAAATTTCTCTTTTATATAAATCAACCAAGAAAGTCAGTTCACTTCATACATTTAAAGGTAAAAATGTTCTTTTATAACAATGGAGAGATGTATAATAAAAATATATAAACATTTTTTGTTATGTTTTTATTTCAACTCCATTATTTATGGGATTGATCTATTGTCATAAGTCAATAGTTACTCTACTATTCATATATTAATACTAGCTTTTGCCGCGACTCCGTCAGGGTGGAATAATGACTTCCGGCAGATTTTTGGTTCTTCCCACATAGTTCCCGTTCTTGCGGGGTTTTCGGAATGGTCGAGTTCCCGTAGAATTTTCAGGATAAAACCTATGTTTTTTTTTATTCACAATGAAGTACTCTTAACCAACAACATATTTATTTGTTTATTCGAATAAAGATTAATATTATTATGTTGATACAACTTAAACAAATTATTTCGACCAAATTAGGTACCATAAAAACGGTTTTTGTGAGTTAATCTTAAAAGATAGACATATACTGTCGCGGACTGTTTTTTAGATCATTAAAAGAGCTATTATTCTTTAAGACATATTTTTTGTGTATCTTGAACCGTTTTCACGGCGCACGCAACGGAAGGCTTCAAAGATGAAATAATTTCTCCCGTTTTTTACACATTTACCACTGTATCTTTGCTCCTATTGGCCGTAGCGTGATGTTATATAGCCCACAGCCTTCCTCGATAACTGGACTATCCAACACAAAAAGAATTATTCAATTCGAACCAGTAGTTTCGGAGATTAGCGCTTTCAAACAAACAAACAAACAAACTCTTCAGCTTTATAATATTAGTATAGATAAACGACGCGACGATAAAAAATAAACGTTTTTAATGAATATTAAACTTTAAATGATCTATCCATTAATATGCTCAAACTGTCAAATCATTTTTTGGAATTACTTCTGCCTTTTGATATTTAATAGTAATTCTATATTTTCCCACGACTTAATAAACCATAATGGACCAATCTCTTACTTCAAACTATTTATTACGCCGACCTTTATTTTACCGTAACTTATACTTGATTACAAAATACGCCATGATTAAACCGGGCATGTGTTTACGAAGCCAGCATTCGATTTATTATATGGCATTAAGTTATTAACAGTCCGCGGTAGATAAATACTGACCTTGTTTGTTTGTTTATCTGATTATCTGTACATCACTATAATAGTTATAAATTAAAATGAAATCACATCAAAATTTACATTTTTAACTGCTTCAAGTGATGGTTCTGTTTGAAGAAAGGAGTGTCAGTTGAATAACAACGAGCTTGACATGGTCAAATAACCGTTACTTTAGGAAACCAAATTCTCATTTCGTATACGGCCTACGAAAACTATTAGGGACGTCCGAATACTTGTAACCTTATTATATGTAGGTCTGTATTAATACTGTTATAATAGATATGTTTGAAATAAATATTTCAGACAAAAAATGTACATGACACAAATAATTTATATGCAGTTTAATAAAGACATGTCGCGTGTTGGTTTTCGCCGTTCTTTACTATTTATTAGAACAACGGTTTACTGGTTTAATCTATTTTTGTGTCGAAAATTTGCAGTAATTATTAATAAGAAATATTTATAAGACCAATATCTGTACAATGTATGTAGCTTTTACAATGTATGTATTTTCGTTTGTTGACAAATTGAGATGCCACTGTTGTAAACTGGTTGGATTTTTTTATTTGTCTAGTAGGTTGCTTTTTTTAAAAGAATGTCCGATGACGAATGTATGATGACGCAGGTAAACATTTTGTAACGAGTTCTCCCTAAATTAACAAAGGCTTATATTGACTTAAAATGTTTAGGGATTTTAGCTCACATTA